AAAAAACCCCACTCACACACGGGCTACTTCTGCTTCTGGATCGACAGAAACCTTCATTTTCGCCGCATCTGATAAGCGGGGCTGTCAGGTGTGTAAACGAGCTGCCAAGACGGCGTAGGCCTTCAAAACTGAAACTTAAGTCCGCCGCTTCTTGTTTGTAAAATAGATATTTTTCAAAAAATAAAAAATAAAAGAGGAGACCTCGTTAGGTTTCGCCGGGAAGCTGAAGTGTGTTGTGAATGGGCACTGGGGGGTTTTTGTAAGGTTTTCCCGTACGTGGAGGTAACCGAAGGCAAGGTCGGAACTGAAACCGGATCGGTTGATTTCGTGCTGGAGGGCTCCTGACGGTTTTGTTGTTATGGGTGGCGTTGGGAGTCTCTCTCATGGCAGGGGGGGTGGGAGGAAAAGTCTCTGTGTCTCGTCTCACTGCTGACTCCTCTGAAAAGGATAGGGAGGAGGAGAGAAAAAAAAACACTGCTTTTCTGTCACACGTACAACATGACTGGCAGAACTACCCGGGTGGTTGAAACCGTCACCGCGAAAAATGTTCCCGAGCTGTGGAGCGCAAGTTTGTGATGTTATTGTAATGCTGCCTGAAAGGCACATGTTCAGTCTTTTTCCCCCCAGTTTGGATCAGTGGGCATCCCAGGGGCGGGTTTTCGGACGGGTGCGTTGAGGATGATTGGGGGGGGGGGGAAACTTCAGTATTAACCAGGGGGACTGGGTCGTTTGAGTGACAGGGCAGTGGGAATGAGTAACAGGCTTGTTTTGCCTGCACCTGACCCAGAATTAAAGCAGTCTGAAAAATCAGCTGGGGTTCCCAAAGCTTACCAAGCGGGACCCTTAAACCTAGATGTGTGCTTAAGTTTTATTCTCAAAAACGTATTTCTAGAGATGCTGCAGCCGGTATTTAAAGTCGCGTTCCTCTAATTGGCTCATTCTGATACAGAAGTAGATTTGCCAGTGTACCCCAGTGAACCTGTAATTCTTGATTAGGGACTTAGTGGAGTTCGTATTATTTTAAGGAACCTTAATGAAGAGTTTTACAGACCCTGATTAATGATAGTCTTAGGCTGCCTTACCTGACCTAACATTAGGTAGTCCAAGATTAGTAACAATTAGGTTTTGTGGAACTACCAAAATGTTTTATGGTTCTTTACCTAAGAGTGTTATAGAAAGATAGGTTTTTCTTATATTCATATTTCTTTCAGTGTAAGAATAGCACCAGACTTACCAAGCCGAAGAGATGGTGATTTATTGATAGTGGTTTTAATAATAGCATAGTGTAAAGTAAATAGTACATTTTTGTCCTATTGTCCAGAAATTCAGAATTGCATACTATCAGTACTCTTTAAGTGGTTGTCCTACTTTCGTGATAACCTAAGACAGTTTTTCATCTTAAGGGTGAAAAATCTGGTTAAATTTAACTTCAACTAAACTGTTGAAGTAAACATTAATGGAAGTATGCCTATGCTACTAAAAGAAGACCAAAGGGGGCAAATACTTTGAAGATTTTCTAGTCTTTTGCGATATAAATGTGTAAAAAAATCTTGTTGTTGTTATAATAGTGAAGCTAGATGCAAGTCTCATTTAGCTATGATAATTTTAAAATTTGAGAAGGAAAGGAAAGCACAAAGTAATTGCACTTGTGTGATATTGCAGTTTGTTTGCTGTGACATTCTCTCCATTATATGTGAGCTCAGAATAAAACACATCTAAAGAATTCATAAGAGGGGGTTTAATTTTAACTCACTGGACGTGAAGTGTTTTCAAAATAGTAAAGCACCCTTCACAGAATTAAAGGATAAATAATGGTTGGTTTTTCTTGTAAGCCTCTATAGCCTTTTATCCTCTTGAGTAGTAAACAGACAATGAGAATAAACTAAGTATCCTTGCTGCACTAGATTACACCAGATTTTTTTTTGCTTACTCTGTCACTAAAAAAAAAAAAAACAATAAACCGATGGAGAGACATCAGCCTCGACAAGAACAACCACCCGTTCAACGTGGCTTCAAGTGCATGAAGTTCTGGGCCCCCAGTTAGATGATGCTTTGTTAGAGGTCTTTTTGGAGCTGTGTCCCGTAGCTTATGAAGTGGTTGTCTGGTCTCTTTTAACAGTTTTGCATCCTCTGAGTGTAGCGTTGCGTGGAATATTATTTCCAGTGGGGCGCCATTGTTTTCCACTCCTGCAGTCGCCCATAAATGAATGTGCGCCCCCGTCCCTGTGCCCCCCGCAGTGAGTTTTTCGAGAGGACGATCCTGTGTAACAGTCTGGTGTGGAGCTGTGCCGTGACGGGGAAGCCCGGGCTCACCTACCAGGAGGCCCTGGAGAGCGAAAGGAGAGCCAGGCTGAACCTGCAGAGCTTCCCCCCGCCCCTCATCCCCCCGCTCCTCTTCCTCACCTCCCTCACGCACCGCTCCCGGCTGCACGAGATCTGCGACGACGTCTACTCCTTCGTCAAGGACCGCTTCTTCCTCGGGGAGACGGTGGAGGTGACGGGCAGCACTGGAGTAAGGTGAGACCGGGCGGGCGGGCACTCAGCACCATGCTGCGCGGGCGGGCGGGCGGGCGGGCGGGCAACGCGCGGATTTGTGCGCCCTGTGTCACATTGTGAGAATTGAGTTGTCGTGTCATTGGCCAAACCGCTTTATGCCACACGGTGTTGTGGGAAGCCGGAGCCTACCCGGCAAGCCACGAGCGCAAGGCAGGGTACACCCTGGACAGGACGCCAGTCCATCGCAGGGCAGGTGCAAGCCAATCATACATGGGGACAGTTTGGAGGCCACGGTAAAGGCCGAGGGGGGATATTTGGCCTGGACACCGGGATAACTCCCTACTGTTATCGCAGAAATGCCAGGGGATCTTTAATGACCACTGAGAGTCAGGACCTCGATTTAACGTCTCATCCAAAAGACGGAGAATCGAGTTTTTACCTTTAAAATGTCGAATTTGTACAGGGAATGGGGCTCGTCGGGGCAAGGCGCATTGTGTTGGGAACTCGTTATTCAAACCTGGAGTTATTTTGGTTAACATAATGCTAATGAACTCCTATGATGAACTGCCTTCCAGGTGTAGCACCGTTTCAGTCCTCTGTGTTTCTTTTTGTCCATTTAGAGAGCACAAATAAAGCATTGACAAAAGAAACATAGGTAATATTGTAAAATGATACCCTGAGATAATTTAAAAAGCTAAAATTGAGGTCTTTGAATTAAGGCTGTCACTTACGCTGTGACAAGTTTAGGGAAAAAAGTGCAGAACTGGGTCAGTGGTGTCTATGATGGTAGTCTAGTGCTGCTCATAACTGTGTAATTTGTGTGTTGTACTTTAAATGAAAAAGCAGAATGCACTTGGTCAGCTGACTTTGGGGAAAAAATACAGGCTGGCGTGAATTGCTGAAAAAGGTGCAAAGTAAGGCTTTTTCAAGTATTAAGAGAAATTGTGCTTGTCACTTAGAGAAGGCATTTTCTTTTTATTCTTGGTGAGGTGCAACAAGATGCGTAGAATACATAATTGTGCACAGAGAGAGATTTTCAGAGAGTCATATTGTGTCTTGTGTGCCAGGTTAAAAAAGACTGACTTATTACTGAAAACAGTTTAACATGCACCTGAAGAACTGAATTTTTTAAACCTTACCTTTCAGGAGCAGTTATTAATATTACTGTAGTGATATTAATGAGGTATGCATGGACAAATCTGTTTGTCATGTTGAGTCTGATCTGTTTTTTCAGTGACATTTTGAAGTTGAAAGTAAAACTCCAGCTGGTGGGGCACACTGATGACTTGTTTTCACCTTTTAATAAGAGTCAGTTTTAGCTGTTTACCCCAGTAAAGATGCTAAGAGTTCAGTCACTTACAGGCTATAAATAAATGTGCCCTTAATGGAGCACATTCTATCAATTTACTGAAAAAAAACACAGGTAAAGGCATTGAGTAACTCCCACCATAGCAAAGGTTCAGTAACTAGGAATCACCCAGATTTTATTGGTAATCTGTCTAATACAACGCACAGAGACCATTCAGCAAAAAGGAGTGTCGCTACCTTTCCTGCAAGAGTAGTATTATAACAAATGGTTTATGATAGTAAGATTGGCATGCCAAAAGTCTGCTTGAAATGCCTTTAAGGTGGTTGGTTTTCATCAAGAAGGAAAAGAACCTAGTTTATTGCTATCGTTTGCTTTCGCTTGTTTCTGTAGCTGCAAGCCAAGCAAGATTTGTCAACCCTCTGGGTCTCTGGTGGTGAGTTGGGAGTGTTCGGATGCAGGCAGTTAAAGTAAAACTTCTAAAACCTGTTACAGAAAACTGGTTTTCTGTAGAATTATGTAATAAAGAAATGAACAGCCTTCTCTGCACACACACAGCATATTTCCTTTTTGCCCCCTAAAAGAAGAAGAGCTTGAGCGCCTTAACTTGCTGATACCTATCCAGCTGCAATAGCTGTCAGGTCATACTAGAAGCACCTTTACAGAATATTTTTCCGTATTTTTTTTTCCTGCCTAAAAAGCTATCTTTTGAAAGTGGAGGATCCCAGTTCAGCCACTACTAGACATGGCTGCTTGGAGATAAGAGAAATGTGTAAGGCACAGTGGGTGGAGCAGCAGGAGGTTGCTGTGGATTGGCTGGCTGAGCAGAAGGAACACTCCCAGACATCACATCACAGTTTCAGCAATCCAGGCCAGACATGAGGCAACATGGACTCACAGCAGGGGAGGCAGGGAGACATGTGGGGCACAGGGACAATTGTCTGCATGACAGCCGCGGCTCTACGCAGCGACCAGCAGTGATGGCTCACTCAGTTGTTACTGCTCTTTTATAAGTCTTTAATACGGGAGGGGGGCACAGATAGAGGCAGACATTGTGTGCACGGGCCTGAGCCAGAGTGTGAGGAAGAATCGATGAGGTTACAAAGGGCAGTTATTCCCTTCGCCTCGCAGTAGAAAGATGTACAGTAACGCCTCACTTCCACATCCAGCGCAGCTGTGCCGCTGTGCTCACTAGCTCAGCCCTGGCAGTGCCAAGCTGATAAAGAAGAATGCGTTTCTGTATCACGTTGGGCTGAAGTTGGAAATAGTTGGTTCTGTGGAAACAAGGTAGATCGGGTTAACGAGATAGTGTTGTTAAAGAAGCCTGTAGTAGAATTAGGCCTACGTTGAGAAATAACTGCCCCTAGCAGCAATCCATGCTAAAATGGGGGAGAATAAAATTTATGGAAATAGTTTGGTTTGCAGATAGATTGTAACCTGGAGTTTTTGAGATACGATTGTATTTAAGATTGTCCTTTAAGGGAAAGAAATGTTTGTTCTTGGTTTTGTTTTGTGAATTACAGATTAATTACAGATATCTTCAGTCATTTTAATTACTTAATAACAGATAGTGTCTTAAGCAGCGTCTTTGAGGTGATGATGATGCCAATTAACAGCAAAAGGAGTTGTTATTTTTTGTGATGGCATCATCAAGATGTATTTGTCCTGTGAAGCACTGGCTAGAAGATCGTGTGGATATCTGTTAAATCAATATACACACTTGCCTGACAGGGTCTGGTAGCAGGCTCACATAACACAATTGGCTTATATTAAAGTATACTCTGTCAACAGAATCGGAGTCTGTGCATCTTAACTAACAAGATTTTCAAGATTTTCCGTAATTGTCACGTACAGTTATTTCTGTTATTAATATGCCCTTAAAAAGGAGAAATTTAATTTCTACATAAAATACACACTAAGTGTAGAAAATTGGACGGCTTGTGTGTAATTGATGGCACTGTGGTCTGTGGGAGAAGCTTAGAGGACAAGACCTGCTGGGATGTTTTGTTTTCAGATCACAGACAGTGGGAGCCATGGAATATTCAGGCAGTGCTTGTTGTAAAAGAAGCGCAAAATTGTTGTCCCAATTGCATTCAGTAATGTATAAAATATTTTTTTTTAATGAACTCTACTTTTAAGAGTGCATTGTTCTATTACCTTTGAAGCAAGAACCTGATTCACAAGCTCTCAAATATTAGGCCTTTAAGTTTAGATATTAAATTTAAAAGCTGTACCTTCACACACTTGTTTTCAGTCTAGATGGAGGCTTTCTTGTGCTTTCAGCTCCTAAATCACCTGGGTCCTAGGACATTTTTCAAAGCCTCTTCTGATTTTTGTTCTTTAACCTGCTAGAGAAGTAACTCCCTTGTGGATCATCGGCTTTTGCGGCTGTTTTGCTGGATTTCTGAGTACAGCATTTGGAAATCCTGTGCTTGGGTTCTGTATGTGGTGGAGTTTTTGTGGTTTTGTAGCATACTGTGTGTTTGTAGTGTAATCTGATTTGTGTGATGATCTTCCTAGAATTGTTTAGTATCTCCCATTGTTTAGTATTATTATAGTATCATCAGTCTGTACCTTATTTCCTGATGTAAATGGCTGGTGTGGCTGCTCGATTGGGACTGGTACTTTGACTGCACTGGTTGCCCTCTTTGTCTTATCCAGGCTGAAGCTCCAGCTCTGAATCATGAGCCTCTCGCTGCCAAATCCTAGCCATTACGGTTTTACTGGATTATACTAATCTGTGCTGGGCTATGATTAAAGTGGTGGGCTCAGAAATGTTGAAGCCAGGGGGTTCACTGTGTACATTCATAATAGATTAAATTGTGTTTTTTTTGTCTTTTACTCAATCTCCCTGAACTTTTTGTATAGACTGTACTTTAATTTTGAGGTATGATGTACTGCGGACTAAAAAGAGATGGATAAATCATCCTTCAGGTGCTTTGTGCTGAAATGCTTTACCACATACTAACATGATCAAGTGGCCAGATATGTTTTTCTCTCTGTGCAAGTTCAGTCTGTATAATTGGTTTTTCATGCTTCCACATGCACAGCGCAGAAAAACAGTGGTTAGAAATCAAGACCTTAATTGCACAGTACACTCTGAGTTGAAACATGATTAAGACTTGAGTGTGCGCACCAGTCAGCAGCTGTTAATGATGATAGCGCAGACGTAATATAACATGGGTGCTGTTCTTCTGTAAAAGACCAGGTTTTCCTTCAGTCGATTCTCTGCTACGATGCAGCAGATGACATTCAGTGTCATGTCAGTGTCCAGCTGCACCAAGACAAGAGTCTGCACTGGCTGATGGGTAATTTCAAGCACAGAAGATGTTCTTTGCCTGGCAGAGAAGTTAAAACTTTATCAAATGATCTAGGAGATTAAACATTCAAACCACCTACCTATATGGTGACTGATTGCTGAGTTCAGAAGGATGCCCTGTCTTTATTTCCTACTTCTTGGGTTACAATTACTGTTTTACCCTGGGGTGTTTTTTTTTTTTGGTGTAGAAATAGCGGGGGTGGGGGAATATCAGTGTGCTGTGTCGGGCCGTGTGCGCTCTGGCTGTCCTCTGACACAGGTGACTATTCCAGGCAACAATGCAAGGTCCTGGAGATCCTGCCTCCACTCCAGAATGGCGTGGTGAACGGCCACCTCAGCCCGCGGATGGAGGGAGACTCCATCGTCATCAGTGACGACAGTGACGAGGAAGGCGGCTCCAAAACCTTGAAGTCTCCCCTGCTGAATGGGTCAGTACAACGAAGCCACAAGCTTGAGTGATTTCCAGTGGTTGAGGTTCCCCGTCCCAAAAGCTGTCTTGGTTACTTTCAGTGCTGACACGGAGCCCTAATCTGTTCCTATTTTTCAATCACCTCTTTGTTGTGTGTTTCAGGAAGCCGAAGACCCCCGTTAAAGCTTCATTGTTTAAATATAAAGTTCAGCCCATCAAAACAGATGGCTGTGAGCCCTTCACTGTCAAGGCCGCTCAGATCAGGTAGGATTGGGAATCCCCACAGAGTCGAGAAGACCTGAGTCTGCTTTAGAAAATATCTTCAGCTTTAATGAAACTTCTGGAGAATAACTTGCCCTCCTTTTTATTACAATATAACCTTTTATTTTTTTTCCTTAAGACACAAGAAACTAGAGATTGTGATAATTTAGGGGACTACAGAGTTTGTTTTGTTATTTTACATTTCTGTTATTTTGCAGCACAACACTCACACACACGCATTACTCTGATAACAGAACTACACACAATGCACATTAACGCTTTTCTGAAGGAAACTGAGTTAGTAAAGCATTACCCATGATACACTTTTGCATTAACATGTTAACTCTGTGAGCCAAGCTGTGTCTTTAATATAGCGATTGTAGCTGGCTGGTAAAGTAGATCAGCAAGATGAAGATTTGCAAGAGGGTGCCCACATTTACTCTCCTGCTGCACAGCCTGTGAATAGGAATAGGTTTGGTCTGCGAATGTGGAAAAAGTGGTCACCAGAAATGTTGTGCCTATAGGCAAAATTGCAAATGTAGAACTCGTGATTATCAAGGTTTTAATGTATTCCAGAGAAGTAAAACACTCAATTTGAACTCCTTTAAAGGTATTTTTGTACATTTGAGTTAACATCGCTAATACCCTTTTTCTTTCTTTGTCCTAATGTAGCCGTAAGAAAAACCTTTTTTCCCGAGACAGATTGAAACTTCTGTTGAAACAACACTGTTCTCCCCAGAATGGTGTGATCAAACTGAAGGTACCGTGCAGATGGATTGAATTTACACTATGGCGAAAGGCAAAGTGAATACGTTTCAGATTTGTGAAAGGCATTTCCTTTCTAACTTCTAACTGCTTCTAGTTAAAAGCATTACTGTGATGTATTGCAAGCTGTAAACCTTAAGAAAATGTTTATTAACTTAAAGGAGCAACGTGCATTTCCCTGCAACAGGTTTCTTGGTATATTCATTTAATATTGCTTTGTCTTATTTCCAGGCTGCTACCATTGCCACTTACCGATTGTCCGAGCAGAGCTTTTCCCACTTCTTTCCTGATGAACCCCCAACATTTACCTTCAGCCCCCCCAGTAAGGGCCGGGGCCGACGCCCCAAGGAGCACTCATCTCCTGGAGATGTGAGTGTGCTGCATTAAACAGAGTGACCTGTCTTCAACACGAGTGCTGTAGGCTTCATTCAGGTTCAGAAGAGCACCTTTTGGTCTTGTTCCAGAATATGATTAATATATTCTCTTTCATACACAGTGACCTTTAATCATTTAATGCAGCATTATTTCAAGATAAAATAGGTGCTTAACGGGTCATCTAGAAGAGCATTTAGGACACAAAAGCAGCCATTTCCTTCTAATACAAACCTTTCCAAAATACAGAAGACAATTCATGAGTAACTGGGACCAGTGATGGATGCTGTCCGGTGTTGTAAAATGTTCTGAATCTTTTCACCCTGTTTCAGTTGAGTTTCACGTCTGATGGTGAAAACGCTGCTAAACGGAAAAACAGAGACAAGGCTGCCCTGGAGAATGAAAAGCTGTTGAAACAAAAGGAGGAAATGAAAGCGATGGGTGAGTTTGTTAGTTAAAAAAGAGAGAGCGCTGTCATCAGGCCAGTGCCAGCAGGCCGTGTTAATGTAGTACTGAAGTAGAAGCTGAAATCAAAGGCAGGTGATAATCGCGGATCGCAGTGTTTAAATGGTAGGTCTCGGCAGTGTCACACTTCATGGCAGAGCAGTATGCACGAAGAGACAAATATGCTTCAAGTTAAAAAGGTTTAGAACTTCCTGTTCTGCAGTGGCAGCTTATTTAAATGATCTCAGTGTATGTCATCTGCTATATCCTATCGTTTCAATTTCACTGCTGCTGCTCCCCTATGGGTGCTTCTTCTGTGGATGCTGGGGTCGACGCTAACAAAATCCAAAAATTTCTTTTCGAAGCCCTGGAAAAGGCGAAGCTGAAAAAAGAGAAAGCAGAGGCATTCGAAGCCAAGAAGAGAGAAAAGGTGGACAAAGAGAAGAAGAAAGAGGAGCTGAAAAAGATGGTGGAGGAGGAGAGACTGAAGAGGAAGGAGGAGAAGGAAAGGCTGAAGCTGGAGAAGGAAAAGGTGAAGAAGAGCCAGGATTCCTGCCCACTCCTGAGTATCTTCACCCTTCTTGTGAAGAGCTGCTTTAAGACATGCTTTTCTCTTTCAGGAGCGCGAGAAGCTGAGAGAGGAGAAGCGAAAGTATGCAGAGTATCTGAAGCAGTGGAGCAAACGGCGGGAGGACATGGAGTGTGATGACCTGAAGGTATGGAAGTCAAAATTCAGATAGCATCTTAGAGAAGGGACCTGGGTGCACCTAAAACTCCTGTCCTGAAGTACAGAGACTGAGGCATCTGGAGAGTCAACCACGTGTTCTTGAGTATGCATGGCGATTGTCATGACTTAGTTGGAAGTAGAGGCCTGCAGAAGGAAAATGATAAAAAAAAAAACATGACGGGACTCACAAGTTGCTTAGCTGGTAAAAGTGCTCACCTGACTGCAGGTTGAGCTCTGCGGTCAGTGTGTTAGAGGTTTGAAACATGTCAGCAGCTGACTATGACTGGGTTTGCCCCAGCAGTGGCGTCCAATTTCCTGAGCTTTCCCAAGAGGAAGGTTGGTAGACACGGCGATAACTGTAGGATCAGAGTGCTGTGGGTTAAGGATGTGCCTCGATCCGATCAGAGCTGAATCTGTAGTTTGGGGCTCTGTTGCCTGTGAAGTGTTAAAAGATGAATGACTCGCAGGTGGGCAGGTCGGAGGAACATCCCCTTCCTCCCCCATGTGATGTGATAAACATACAGCTGGCTATTCCGGGTTTTAACCACAGCTTGTGAATTAGCAGCAGGTTAGTGGAGAACTACAACAGCCGACATTAACAAATTGTTCTTCAGTTTTAATTTGATCATTGTATAGGGGAAATTACACTTTGAAATGTTACTATTTTTAAAACTATATATATATATTTTCAAAAATATATTCCTAAGGTAGAAATATAGAGACCAGGATGTTGGCCACCGGGACGTGAAGAGCATGGATCAGAAAGCCGCTGTGTTTGCCCTTGCAGGAGTTGCCGATCCCCCTCCCAGTGAAGACGCGCTTGCCTCCAGAGCAGTTCGGCGACGCCTTGATGGTGCTGGAGTTCCTGCAGGCCTTCGGGGAACTGTTCGACCTGGAGGATGAGTTTCCTGAGGGAGTCACTCTAGGTAGGGACTTCGCATGTACATCATCTTACCAAAAGCTCAACAAATATGTAAATATGTTTGCTCAAGAAGGTTATGGAAGTTGGGTTTTTGTTGATTGAAGTAGTGAAGGCAGGAGGGTGGCTTCTCTCCCATACGGTCAGATCTATGTGAAAAATCCGGATAGCAAGTTCTTTGCATCTGCCACATCAGAAACATCCCTGGAGACCCAGTCCAACAGGAAAGTGAGTTGCTTATAAAAAATAAAATAAAACGGAAAAAATCCTTTCATCTGCACTTGACGTTAAATCAGATTGTTCAGTTTTGTTGTATCTAGTTAAGACGACCATATTAGCTTCGGGTTGTTCTTAAAATTCTGCTGTTTTGTCTGTGTACTAATCTTATGCAATAGGGAGAAATAGCAAATATTGTGTGGCTTTCTTCATTGTAAGCCTTTGCTTGGCCAGGACTAGCAGTATATCTGATACACAATATTGATATACTGACTTGTTTGCATTTCTGTCATCTGTGATTTCTGGGAAACAAATCTTTAATTTTTGTGCTTAGATACTTGATTAAAAAACAGTTTAATTTTTTTACCAACACGTGTTTTCCTACCTTACGTGTCTGTGGGAAAACTGGACAATGTTAGGGTCTCGGGATGCTTCTCCTCTGGCCGTGTTCTGTGTGGAAAAGAAACCTGTCATAATGTGCATTCTTCCCTTTGGACAATCTGTGTGATTCCAGTCCAAACTAGGCCTTGTACCTGCAGTCCAGTGCTTCACAGGGGGGGGGAATGGGCAGAATTCATTTTTAAATGTATGAATCATAACCCATAGGAGGAATTGAGAAAAATCTCAGCCTCACTTTTGCTTTGCATTGTGTCAGTCGGGAAAGGGCTGCCCAGCCATGCTGATGAAACTAATGCTCTGGCTTTTTTCTACAAATCTCTCCGCTCAATCGGCAGCTTGCCGCCCAGCGCCCTGGATGGGCTGAGTGGGCCCCTCTGGTGTGTGACTGTTCTCATGTTCTCGCATTGGTCATTGAGATTTTCTCCTCGGGCTTTGACACGCGGTCACCGTCCGGCCCTGGCGTCTCTGGGCCCAGCGCGAGTCCCGGCCCTGCCCTTCCGAGAGAGCCTGACCCGTCCGCCTGTGTCCACAGAGGTGCTGGAGGAGGCCCTGGTAGGGTGCGACCCGGAAGGCCCCCTGTGTGAGCTGCTCTTCTTCTTCCTGTCGGCCATCTTCCAGGCGCTGGCGGAGGAGCAGGAGGAGGTGGCGCGGGAGCAGCTGGCCGAGGCCGACACCAAAGGTCAGCGCCGCTCTCTTCCCCCGCTGTGGGCACGACCGTCGCTGGCTACTTTAAAGAGACGTGGTCCAGTTTTCTTAAGAGCCTTCTTGCTAGCCTGTTTTTCTTTTCTTTTTCTTTTTTTACATTTTTGGGTCAAAGTGTTCCGTAGCTACCCGTCAGTTCTAGACGTATGTTGAAGTAAGATTTTTCAGGTTTGCTGCTTAAGTGCATTTCCTCACCGAACGACCGTCTCTGCAGACCTCACGGAAGCGCTGGATGAAGATGCCGACCCCACGCAGTCCGCCATCAGTGCTGTGGCCTCCCTAGCGGCCGCCTGGCCCCAGCTGTACCAGGGTGAGTCTGTGAGGGAGCAGGGCTGAGGGTACTGCTGGGCTTTTGTCTCAGTTGCTCATTTCGGTGCAAACGGAGGTAATTGCACTGTGAAAAGAAGAGGGACAAGCCGAGTTTTGGCTGTTGGGCATTCTTCAGGTGCCTCCTTCGCCTTAACAAAGCTCAACAGCTGAATCTGTTCTTTCTTTTCACTTTTCTTTGAGGAACTAACCTCTGCTTGATCCGTTGCGTCTAGCAGCACTGCCCAGTTAGGCTGGGGAGTTAAAAAAAAAAAATCTTGATGTGCAGAATAAGAAATAAAACCTGCGGCGTGTCCCGTTTCCTCCAGGCTGCAGTCTCAAGCAGCTAGACCTGGACAGCTGCACCCTCTCGGAGATCCTTCGCCTCCATATCCTGGCCTCTGGAGCCGACGTCACCTCTGCCAATGCCAAGTACCGCTACCAGAAGCAGGGGGGCTTCAGTTCCATGGACGATGCCTGCGTGGAGCTGCGGCTCGGGAATCCGGCGCTGCTCAAGAAGCTGTCCGGCACGGCTGTTTACGACCTGCTGCCAGGTGAGGAGATACTGTCCGTGGCACAGGACAGATAAACAGCAGCCGGGTCCCATGCAGCTGACCACCGCAGACTGTAGTCCTGCAGTGTGATATTGTCTTATCTTCCTTTTGATTTTGCATTCCATGAAAGGCCCCTTTTTTGTGTCATGATAACATGATTATCGCCACAGTTTGAAAAGGCTGTTTTTATTGGCTGCTAGTTAAATTCTGCAGCTGCAAAGTGTCTTTTTGGCTGTTTTGGAAGTAAAAGAATAGATCCCAGTTCTAAATTCATCGTGGACAGAATTGTTGCTGGAAAATTTATATTTACTCCAGTGTAAAATGCGGTCCTCCAGGGCCAATGTTTTTTTTGTTTCCACTAAAACTGCATCTGTATATTTAATTGTTTAAATTAGACTTTCCCCCAGCTAGCAATGAGTTATGACCTTAAAAACCTACAGCATCAAGCTCTTCGGGATCAGAGTTTGTTTACAGCCGTCTTCCTGGATTTACTGATCATTTGCTTTTGACCTTTGTATCGCAAAGCGTCAAGTAGCGAATACAGCAAGCAGGGCGAAAGCCGAGGAGCTGAAGTGGGAGTAAGAAGCTGTGTTTTCTTGGGTGCAGGAGAGAAGCTGAAAATCCTCCATGCGCTGTGTGGGAAGCTGCTGACCCTGGTGTCCACTCGGGACTTCATAGAGGACAGCGCGGATGTGCTGCGGCAGGCCAAGCAGGAGCTCCGCGAGCTGAAAGCAGAGCAGCACCGCAGGGAGAGGGAGGAGGCGGCCAGCAGGTACCCCGCCAGCGCCGCGCCGAGGCGGGAGGGAGGGAGCCCGGGCCGGCGGGCAGAGCCGCGAGAATTTCACGGTTCGCTTTTCGTTTTCGGCAGGATTCGAAAAAGGAAGGAAGAAAAGCTGAAAGAGCAGGAGTTAAAAATAAAGGAAAAGCTGAAAGAAGATGAACAGAGGAATGGGACTGGGGCAGACGCTGCAGGGTATGTGTTTGTTGACTCGCAAGAGTTTGTTTTTCGTTTTATGGCCTCAAAAAGTGAAATTCTGTTCTTTAAGTCAAATCACAGTTAACTTCTAATACTGCGCTTGTAATTCTCATTTAGCGCAAGGCACCTTTTTTCAGCTTTTTAGATCACACGGTTTTTAACCGTGGCTCCTATGTGGCCTGAAAAAAAAAAAGAGAGGTGCGTGGAAGAGAAGAAGATAAAGCAGCTTACAGTCTGTGTCTTTAAATGACTTGCTGTGAAACCTTTGCGACCCCCCCTGGGCTGAGACCCTTTTATCAGAGAAAACCTTGATGGTGAGAGTTTTCGGAGTTTCCTTCAGATTGTCCCGTGTCCTGGCAGGGAGGAGGAGCCCGAGGAGATGGACACCAGCACTGAGAGCCACGAGGCCCCCAGAGACGTGGCCACAGAGGATGAGGATGAGTCTGAGCTTGGCAGCAAGGCCAGAAAAAGTAAGATGCCCTAGCATGGGCATTCTCGTGGGTCCATTCCGCTTTTCACAGGGCATTCTCACTCTGTGGTCCTTTTTCTTTCATCTAGCTACCACCAAGCTCTTCTTCGATGAATGTAGCTTGCCCAAAGTTTTGTTGTCCTCTGGTAGAGGGCTCCCCGAGCTCTGTGATATAGGGTTCGAGCCTGGGTTATTGTACCTGAGCAACACTGAGGGCAGGGAGGAATTAGTTGGCTGTGGCAAAGACCTCCTGGGTGCTTATAAGCATGTGGTGCTGTCTGTGAGGGATGCTACTCTCCCCTGATCGTCACTGAACCTGCAGTACGGGGCTGTCTCATCTGTATCGTGCTAAAGACCAGTGGCTCCAAGGTGGGCTGGGTAGAAATAGTCTTTCTTCGCTTCCTCACTCTCCCCTGGGATCGGTCACGGAGTTTGTAGCCACGAGCCGATGCATGAAAAACACCAACAAGACCGGTATTGGGAATCGCCAGTTACCAGAAAAAAAATATATATTTTTTAAAATTTTAAAAGAGATCAGACGCACGAGAGAGAGAGAGGATGTCGCGGTTAACTCCTAACCTCTGCCTGCGTTCACAGCCAAGAGCAGCAGGGAGCCCCCCCTCAAGGAGAGCGGTGAAGACGGCAAGGAGGCCCTGAGCCCCGAGGAGGAGGCGGCGCTGCGGCAGGAGCAGCAGCTGAAGGAGAGGGAGCTGCTGGAGCGCATCCAGAAGGCCGCGGCGTGTACCTACATCCTGCCGCTGGGCCGGGATCGCCTGTACCGCCGCTACTGGGTCTTCCCCTCCGTGTCCGCGCTGTTCGTGGAGGAGGACTACTCCAGGCTGACGGAGGACATGCTGGTGCCCCAGCCAGTCGGACCCCCCAGCCACTCCGACGGAGCAGCGGCCCCCTCCACTCCCAAGCATCTCGGACCCGGCACCGACCCCCGCGCTGCTGCCGACAGCTCCCCCCGGGACCCCAAGCCCGTGAACAGACCCAACCTGTGGTCCTTCTACAGCTCCCCCGAGCAGCTGGAGCGGCTGATCGAGGCCCTGAACAGCCGGGGTCACAGGGAGAACGCGCTGAAGGAGGCGCTGTTGCTGGAGAAGGACAGGATAACTGAGCTTTTGAGAAACTGCCCAGTAGATCGCTTTCACGTTCCTGGTAAGCAGCCATTACAGGTGTCTGAAAACTGGCAAACATTTTGTGCAGTAAAAGCTGTAGAACGCTTAACTCCGAGGGAGTTCCATTTTTCTAGTGATGTGGAATTAGTTACGATTCTGGTATTCTGTTTGTGTTTTTTAGCTAACATGTCACCTCATCAATGTTTCTGTCCTGTACAGATCTACTACAAACTGAGGGCAGAGCTGCGCCCGTCAAATCAAGGAACGCCATCATGTCTCCCGACTCTCCCCAGTCTGCTGAGAAACACCTCGAGACTCGACTAAAGGATCTGCTGTTAGACATCGAGGACCGGATCTACCAAGGCACTCTGGGAACTGTGAAGGTTCGTGTGGCCCTCTCCTGACCTGTTTCGCACTAATGTGCAGTTGATTCGCAACTCGCACAGTCTCAGCTTTACACAGCCGGCTCTGGATAATTAAAAATGTTGAAAAAACGTAATTCTCTGAAACATTTGTCAAGCACACCTACAAGAGCAAGTTAGTGAGCCTATACAGACATCTTATTTACTTTCAGTTACTCTTTTTACACATATTTAATATCTTAAATTACTGTAAGAGATTAGTAGGAGGTTTTTATAATGGTTATGGGGTAAAATATGACTACGCACATTTTTCACACTACCTAATTCCTATCACCCATGTAAGTTGCAAGCCAACAGTACACAATCATCTGCAAATAAAAAGGAGATAAACTATTTAAAACACAAAGAAACTAAAGCACATTGATGTGGATTTCAAGCTTTTTTTTATTCTGGCGAGTACAGAAGTTTTGCAAATGTTCTGCACAGGTTGTGCTGAGTTTTGCCCGTCGATGTAGAAATTTGAAGGCAAGAATCGGTGTGTTGGCCTGTAGTGTTTCCACTGGGGGGAGAGAGAGAGACTCTCAGCTGTGATTGCTGTCGGTCAGTGCTGGCGTGCGATGTGTGCGCAGGTAATGGAGAGACAGGCCTGGAGGACGGCCCTGGAGAGTGGCCACTACGAGCTGCTGAGCCCAGATGGCAAGGAGAACGGGGTGGTGAAAACAGAGAATGGAGAGGGGGGCGCCATGGAGATCGATGAAGCCAATCTGAAAGTCAGCAGCAAAGACAGGTAACGCCTTCGCTCGTGTCCCGGAGTAAGTGGTTTTGTCTGAGGTGTTGGATGTTTCCAGACGTGAAGAGATCTGAACAGTTTGGTGGCGGTTTCAGTTCCGGGATGGGAGATAGTCCCCGCTCAGTCAAGGTGTCCATTTCCAGAATGAATTGGAGGATCTAGTGCCGTTTTGAAATGTTCATAGAAAAAAGGAGCTTTATCTGATTTACACATTTGTGGTTCATAACAAGGGGAGGCATGGTAGTGCAGTGGTTAGCAATGCTGCCTCATGGTGCTGGGGCACTGGGTTCAGTTCCTGGGGTGTTCTCTGTGTGGGGTTTGTATGTTCTCCCTGTGTTCGCATGGGTGAGTGTCTGCGTGTGCCCTGCGATGGACTGGTATGCTGTCCAGCAGCAGCCCTACTTGCACCCATTGCTGAATGCAGAAAATAGGTGAATGGATTTCTCATAAGGTATTTGTACGGCGTCTAATGGGTTCCTTTTCTTCCCTCTTCACCCAGGTTACTTGAGCTGAAGACTGAGGGTCAGAGTGCTGCATCAACCAGTGCCAGCACACCACAGCCTGTGAACAACACAGTTCATTACCTGGCGTTGGCACTGTCGCAGATAGAGCAAGGCATCGAACGCAAGTTCCTTAAGCCGCCCTTGGGTAGGTCATTCAGTGCACAGATCGCGTTTCAGAATAGTTTCTTGTAATGGTTCCCTTTTCAGTCTCCAGAAGAAATAGATATCGGATGTCTTTTAGAACGAAAGTTTGCTTCTTTGCCACTAGGTGGCAGTATAGCAAAAACCTTTCTTCTCCTGACCAGGAATTCTTTACGGTGAAAGAGTGTGCACAGGGTGTATTTCTGGGCGGACGTTTGTTAGGAATTTTTTTTTGCTCATCATTGAGATATAGCTGCATCTTATAGCTGTTCTTATATTCCGTTGCGTACAGGTGAAAGTGCACTAACACACTTCCTTTTAAAATCGAAATAGGTGATGAAGAGCTCAAAAAGGAGCAGAAGGGAAAGAAGAAAGAAGAGAAGAAGAAGAAGGATGACGATCAGTCAAGTGAAAAAGATGGTAATTTTCAACAGTAAAGAAAGTGCTAGGGCGGTGATCTTTCCTTCCACAATCATGTTTCACCTACAGAAAACTCTTACTAAATGCATTCTAATGGATGCTCTGATGTCATACGTAAAGCACCAATTAATTACGCATAGATTACCAACCATAGAAAAAATCAATTTTTCTTGGTACTCGTTGACATCTGTTCCTTTATTGCCACTTCTCTTGAAACCACGAATCACATAACTATAATGACTTACTAATGGTTTAGTTTTATAAACAACCTCGAGGGTCAACCTGGGCAGATGACGCAAAATTTAAATGTTCTGTGGCTTGAAGACCCGTTACCTATGATGCAAAATCCAGAATCTGTACATAATCTGTGTACCAATCATGATGTGAAGATTATTAGTAGGGCCGGTGGCACTTCAGTACTGTTAATTTATCCAGGTGGGAAAAACAAACTCAAGTGCACAGTTCCTGTCTAACAGGCCCTGTGGTTCTGTGTCCTTCAGATGCTAGTGACAGTGGCCGTGTGTATAAGACCGTGCTGGACCGGTGGAGGGACTCCCTGCTGTGCTGCTCCAGCTTGTCTCAGGTGTTCCTCCACCTGTCCACCCTTGACCGCAGCATCATTTGGTCCAAGTCCATCCTCAACGCTCGCTGCAAGGTGTGCCGCAAGAAGGGGGATGCGGAGAACATGATTCTGTGCGATGGCTGTGATCGAGGACATCACATCTACTGTGTCAGGCCCAAACTCAAGGTAACCGTGTAGTGTTCCTGGGGGACGCGACTGAAACGTGTAAATGTGAACCAATGTTGAACATGCCAAATCTCGTACAGGGAAGTGTTATCTGAGCTGCTAAACCATGTAACCAAGAAGGAGAGTGTTGTACAAGAGTGCAGTTCCCTTCTCTTTTAGGTTATCATGGAGGTTTTCATGAGGCTGTCGTGGAGGCGTGCACTTGTGCATTTTGGAATATACACGTTCTGGTCATCCCGTGTGGGGAATATTTAGTTGTTTGTGTTGACGCATCCTTATAGACACCATGGGGAAATGGTGAAAAGGCAAGATATAGTCAAAAGTGTAGAACTTAAGTCAATGCATGCTATGTTAAAATTGTACAATGGGCTGTTAAGATCTCCTCTAGAATACTGTGTACCATTTTGGTCACAGCGTTACTAATAAGATCCTCCTGCTCCAGAATCAGGCCTGTGAAAGTCAACCAGATTGTTTCCAGGCTTAAAGGAATGTCCCACACTGATAGGCTGTAAGTAGTCTTAGTCTTGAATGGCGAAGATTCCAAGGAGACCCGATTCAGTATTAAAAAAAATTCACAGACACATGGACAAAGTCAAACCAGTGAACTTCTTCACCATAAACAGTCAAACACAAACCCAGTGGGCACAAATGAAAACGGACGTTCATTTAAAACAAAAACGGTATTTCTTCATGCAAAGAAATGCAAGAATAGGGGACACAAAGAAATATCCTGGCTTCTTTTTCTAAGTTACTGAATGAAATCCTCAAGTCGAATATCTGCTTAGGACCAGATGGCCTCCTCTTTATTTGTACCTGTTATGTAATGTCTTTGAAGCATTCAGTCGTAAAAGGTCGTGACAAGAGTTGAGTGGGTTCAGATGAAGCAGCAGCAGGACCTGAGTTCTGTGTTGTTGCCAGGCTGTTCCCGCGGAAGACTGGCTGTGCCCCGAGTGCCGTCCCAAGCAGCGCTCTCGCCGCCTGTCCTCCCGCCAGAGGTCCTCCGTAGACTCCGAGGAGGAGGTGGAGTCCGAGGGCGAGGAGAATGCGGACGAAGAGCAGGAGAGTGAGGAGGAGGAAGAGGAAGAAGAATCTGAAGAGGAGGAGGAAGAAGAAAGGTAGGGTGCCAGTCAAGCCCAGTTTTGTCATGAAGTCCGCTTATCTTCGTGTAATGTCACACTGAAGCCCTTTGGCAGTGTGTTTTATTGCACTGCACACGCCTTTTGTGTTGTATTTGGGTCAGGGATTGCAACACCTCCCCTGTGTTTTAGTGCACCCAGGAGAGGAAGAGCAGCAGTCAAGTTGCCTTTGACGACCAAGGGAAACAAGCCCAGCACTCCCAGCGGTGGCCGAGCCTCCCAGCGACAGTCCGAGTCTGGCAGGTCCACCCCGCACAGCCAGCAGGGCACCCCAAGACAGACTGCCCCCACGGGGAAAGGGGGGTTAAAGAGCTCTGGGAAGAAAGGGAAGGCAGCCCCCACCTCGGACAGCAAGCCCCCGCTGAGGACGAGCAGCCGGACCAGCGCGCGCCTGAGCCAGGAGCCCAAGCCTGCGGAGAGCTCCTTCACTGACACGAGCAGCACGCGGCTGCGCGGCAGGAGGGCGGCGGGGAGCGCGGCGGACCCCGCCGGCGCCCCGTCGGAGGGCTCTCCTCAGAGCCGACACCCCGAGTCGCAGCGCAAGAAACGATCCCTCTCTGGTAGGCAGGGGAAGGGGGCTCCGCCGCGGCCTGTGCTGATTCTCCGAGTGTTGTCCTTCCAGGGCTACAGCGTACAAATCAAGGGCTTTCTCAGCAAGGCTTCCCTTCCCCCAAAACATGAATAGACCATTATTAGGCTTTTTTTGAATGACCCTGGCATCATTTCTTTTTAATGCACATTAACAGCCTATCCTATAGAGTACGTCTTAAGATGCACTATATGATAAAAAAGTAAGGGCTGTGTGAAATATTGCAGTTTACCATTCTCTCCTTATACTGGTTTTGGAAGCCGTGTGCTTTCCACTGCCTGCTCTATGGGTGGGTGTGCACAGACACTCGAGCCTTTTTTAATCCTGGCCTCGTTCCGCTTTATTTTATTTTTTTTTTGTTTGTTTTCAGATCTACCTTCCAAAGCTCAAGTTGTTCTGACTCCCCCAGCGTCGTCCAGCAGGAGGAGCTCGGGGAGAAGCCAGGGGGTGCACGAGCTGTCGGCGTGCGAGCAGCTCGTGGTGGAGCTGGTGCGCCACGAGGACAGCTGGCCCTTCATGAAGCTGGTGTCCAGGACTCAGGTCAGCACTGTGGGGGGGGCGCTTCTGGCTGTGCAGGACACTCGTATAACGGGGCTCCTTGGTGGTGTGAAAGGCCTTTCACAGCAAAACTGTGCGCACACAGTGGAGCCCATGGGAACGGCCCATGGGTACTGCTTTAAAATGATGAAATTGTGGGTGATGAGGAAATGTTTGCATCGATAAAGTCACGGAGGATCAGGTTTCTCAGTGTGAGCTCTCGGGTCTTTCGTTTGCATCCAGGTGCCAGACTACTACGACATTATCCGAAAGCCAATTGCCTTGAACGTCATCAGGGAAAAAGTCAACAACTGTGAATACAAAACAGCCTGTAAGTTCGTTTTTTTAATTTTTGCATCAGATTTACACAATGAACAAGTTGTCTGACCTTAAAGAAAACACTGGGCCGACCTGTAGTAATAGTTAAGAGGCTGGAATGGAAAGCTACACCCGTGTACTGATCTTTATAAACAAACACTGGTTACCCTCTCCTGTTTGGGCTTGAAGGTGACACTTCCACTAGGTAAAGTAGAAGGGCATTTTGTTTTAAACAAACTACATCAAAAATACTTTCTTACCATCCCTGCTGGTTTTTCCCCACTATTAAAAAGGCACCTACTCTGTTATTAGCATTTTTATATTATTGTTTCAGTAATTACTGTAAAAAAATATATTTTCCAGTTGTGTACATTTTGCATAAACTTGCTTGCTGTTCATTAACAACCTCTTCTGTTTTCTGTTCTTCCAGCCGAGTTCATTGAAGATGTGGAGCTGATGTTTACCAACTGTTTAGAGTACAATCCCCGCAGCACCAATGAGGCGAAAGCTGGAGTGAGGCTCCAAGTTTATTTCCACTCTCAGGCTCAGAAACTGGGACTCCTCACAAAATGCGGAGACCAAACTCCCCCTCCCCCTTCAAAGAGGTCACGGGTGTAGTGCTTTACACTTTCCACTTCTTGTTTGTTGAGTAAAGGTGAGATCCGCAAAGATTTCATCTCGGTTTATAAATGAATGGACCAGGTTTATGTACCAGGTGTACCCTTCACTGCATATGGTCCTAAGACAACAGAAGAAACAAGAGACATGGCTACAAAAAACAAAAATTGTTTGATAGTCTGAAGTCACATGACAAAGAAAAAATCATGGCTTTTTGAGATCGATGGGGACTTGCTTGCCTTGAAATGAGACCTGCACTGTAATCTTTACCAGTACCTTTATGTATCCTTTCCATTCTAAATTACTCAGGAGACTTGCATTTTGTTGTTTTTTTATCAGAATGATCCATATGATTTTGTATATTGGATGCATTTGTAGACTTACTGCAGAGACATTTGTGTGTTATTTTTTGTTTGTTTCAAACTGTTGTATTTTTTCAGTGAAAACTAATTTCCTGGATGTTTTTCCATGAAACATCACACTTCAGCCTAAAAGATTCCTACCAAATGGTTTTCAGGTTGTTGTTTGTTTTTTCCTGGGCTGTTCTACTGTACTGTACCAACAAAAAAGCACAGTATTCTCTTCAGGTGCCAGAGCTTCAGTGTACCAACACTACATTGGAACAAAGATCAGTTCATCTCCAGTTCTTCGTAACTAGACCACGTAGATATTTATTTAGTATGGAATATAATTTGAGGCAAAAGACCTGATTTGTATTTATAAAATTGCTATAGGTGTTTTCCATCTTTTAAACTTGTGTGAAAATGGTCAGTTTTCTATTCATGCCATAAACTAGACCACTTCAAAGGTTAAATGTTTTTTTCAAAATAACTTTTGTATGTTTTTTTTCCCCTGTACATTTTTTCTATATGTAAAAATAAATTGTTGACATTGTTTAAAATTGTCTTTAACTTTGCACTTGGAATTTAACAGCAGCGACGTTCTTCCAGCAGCACTAATCAAATGGCAGTGTGAGGAAATGGTAGCTCAGGAATAACCCAGGGTGATCCGTTTTACCGGGATGTGTTTTGGAGTTATGTTCATGTTTATTAATAAAACCCCTTTGACGATGTGTTGTTCTGAAACCTACGTGCATTTTGTATTAAAGAGAGATAGGTGCGCACAGATTGCCACAAGGGACAGCTCTGAGTTTTGCTTTCCTCCCCAACTGTTAGAAAGTGATGAATCTGATGGAAAATTCTGATCTTAAAATCACAACTCTAGGAATACATCAGAGATTGGTCACAAACCTTTCAAAGAAGACGTGCTTTGTGTTTAATGAATGGATTATCCATAGAAACCATACATTAAAAGATATTTCAAAGTTTAAATTAGGTGTACTTTGGAAAAACATGTTACAAGCAATGTGTTTATAGAAGATGGGATTTGACATTTTAATGTCTAACTCCATGGTGTTCTGACATTTTCCAATATATTTATTGGCCAAAATAGTTAAAACCTGAAGCACTTACATAAATATCTTGCATCAAATTTATTTTGTCGAAAAATTGTTTTCCATTGTCTAGACAATGTTTGAAAGTGATAGAAGGGCAAACTGGATCTAGCCACAAGTAGAATTTGAATAAGGGATGTTTAATAATAAAAGTGAACAATGCACTAGTAAGACCTCACTTAGAATACTATGTACAAATTGAATTACTACATAACATGAGATTACTGCCGATCGGGAATCGGTCCAGAGGCGAGAGAACAGGTACAAGCCCAGGCTCAAAATGTCATACTTGTTTGGGACGATGTGAAAGAACTGAATCTTCTTACCTTGAACAAACACTATAAGGAGATCCCATATGAGTATTTAAAATACTCATTGGCTTTAAACAAAGTCGTACTCAACCAAGAATCGTACCAGAGGACACTAAATACAATTAAAATCGCGAGCAGTCAGCCAGGTCACTGTACTGTATATTGACGAAGCGAATATTCTGGCTTCCTTCAAGAAATGGTTGTGAATCAGCGCCTTGGATTAGCAGTTTAACAAATTGGGGTGAATAGACTCCTTTTGTTCTTTGTAATTATTATTTTTTTTTAATTTGCAGTAAGCCCACCACAAAACTGCGATTACAAAACGAGGGCAATTTTTTTTTTCTGTACGTGTGGTTCAACGCAATGAAATGCGTTAATTAACGCCAACGAAAACTTCTAAAAAAACGGATGTTAGCGAGCTGTTACAAACGCAACAACGGGGAAACACGCACTGGACCAAAACAGCCCCGCGTACGGCGGAGAAGATGCGCAAAACACCTGTAGAAAATGTTTTGGCTGAAACTGTCCCAACCACCGCTCAGACCACACCAAAAACAAGAAACGCCCCTTCCACAGCAAGCAACATTAAATTAAAACGGTGAATAAATATCCCAGTCTAAGAATTATTTTTAAGTCTGCGAATTAAACATGAAATGTAATTTCCCAGGGAAGTAAGCAGCAGGTGTATTCGCCCAGGCTACATGGACCGTATATGCGGTCTTGTGTTATTTAATACTACCCTGCCAATGCCATTATCTAACATTTCTTGATAACTTTTTTTTGTTTTTTTTTTAAAAGGCTGGTTCGTTCGTGCGGGTGTGTGTGTGTGTGTGCGCGCGCGTGTGTGTATGCACGTGCGTCGGGCGGTGGCAGGAGCCCGGCTGCGCGCGGGGGGCCGTGGCGGCCGGTCCTGGGCCGTTGCCGTGACAGCGAGCGCGAGCCAGCCCCCGTCTCTGCCAATCCCGTCCCTGCTCTCGCCGCCCGTCGCCGCGCGCGCTGCCCCCTCTCTCCCCTCGCTCACTTCCCAGCTCCCCGGCGCCGTCCGCGCGCACTCCGCTGCGAGCACCGACCCGACCACCAGCCGACATGGTAAGGGCTCCGCGGGGCCCTCCGGGGCCGGCCGGCCGCTCTCGGAACCGGGGGGTTTTTTAACTCCTTCCCTGCCCTGGCGTTACCCGGCCATCGGCGGGCGAGCCGGTTTGGGCTGAGGAGCGATTAAAAGGCAGTTTCAGGAGGAGGAGGAGGGGGCGAGATGCGGGCTGGAAGGTGGGGGGAAACAGGAGCTTGGAAGTGGATCTAGTGGGGTCCGTGTTCCGGTACCGCAGGCCCCGAAGCCTCCGGGCGGCCATTTTAACCTAATTTTAGCCGCAGTGGCCGGCCGCTGCATAACGCTCACCGGTCCGTGGGGTGGACTGTGATTTCCTTGCCCGTGTGTGTGGAGCGGGGAAGCTCATTCCGTCTGTTTTGAACGGCGGGTCCCTGCCTTGCACAGCCCTGCCCGCCGCCGTGCCAATGCGGCTTTTCCAATGGGATGGGAGAGCGGCTCGCTGTTGTCTCTCGGAATTTTTTTTTTTTTTACAGATATCGTGGGACACCCAGCCGCGTTTGACCGCTTTTTTGCCCGTGACGTTTAAACTGCACTTCATTTTAAAGTCGCGTTTTTCAGTAAAGTTGGTGATGTGGGCGACAAACCTTCTTTAAAAGGCTGAAAATATAGATATATATTCCCCCCCACACACGTAAACGCCTGGCTTTGCTTCAGCTCAGTTATATTATAATCCCCTTTAACATGATCATGGAGACCTACGAGTTAGCCGCGTCAAACCGTCAACCTTTCTGAGACTGAGAAGCTCCCTGTCTGTGAAGTTACCGATGATCCAGGCTTGTACATTAAAAACACGCCACACCCGGGCAGGGTTCTCTCAAACTGCACACAGTGGGAGGACTCGTGAATTGTTAGCTGTTCAGCATTTTTCAACTGCTAAAATGAATGACAGTTTTTTTTTTTTATCAGGCGCTGTAATGTTTTAGAACTTGGCTGGTGGATGAAGCCATTGGTTTATATGAAGAAACACCGAGATCATGCTAACAACTCATACCTTCGTGGCTGTAGCCGAGAAATCATAACGCCGATTTCAGAGAGAAACCCCTTTTTTTTTTAACAGGGAGCACCGTCTTCCATCCTCCTCCCTGCTTGTGAACTGACCCTCCCCTCCTCCCCACAGGCCTCCGGCGTCACAGTGAACGATGAAGTCATTAAGGTTTTCAACGACATGAAGGTCCGCAAGTCGTCGTCGTCCGAAGAAGTGAAAAAGAGGAAGAAGGCTGTGCTGTTCTGCCTCAGCGAGGACAAGAAGAAAATCATCGTGGAGGAAGGGAAGGAGATCTTGGTGGGAGACATCGGCGAGACAGTAGAGGACCCTTACGCTTCTTTTGTGAAGCTTCTACCTCTGAATGACTGTCGATATGGCCTGTACGACGCCACGTACGAGACAAGAGAGTCCAAGAAGGAAGACCTGGTATTTATATTCTGGTAGGTTAAACACCTTGGTGAGCTGTGGGATACAAGACGGCTTCGTGACAAATTAAGACAGTTCCACCCAGTTGTTCTTGAAAGTGACTAAAACTTTTGCCCCGTGACTCATGCATGGATCTTCAGCGTGTGAAAGACTACTGTTCTAGTATTGCCGTACTGTGTATTTGAATAGGATGTCTCTTAACACAGTAGTAGTATTATTTTTTGTCGTTTTGTTCAACAGGGCTCCAGAAAGTGCTCCTCTAAAAAGCAAGATGATCTATGCTAGCTCTAAAGATGCCATCAAAAAGAAATTCACAGGTTGGTAACTGTTTTCAAAAGCAGGTCTTTCTGTCGCTGTGTGTGAACTTTTGAGGAGTTGCAGAGCACCTGGCAATTGGAAACTTGCTACAGTAGGAATCGATGGGCTGGTTTGGAAACTGTTTTAAGCAGAGTCCCATGTCCTTTCATTGGATTGAGTGCACCTTTGTTTAAAACGTTACAGTGATTTCAAGCATTTTGTGGTGTGCTTTGAATAAATCGCGCTGTAAAAGAAACAGGTGATCTGATTTCATTGTCATAACAGCAGTTTCAACTGGTCATGTTTTGCTTCCTGCGGGTCTTTACCTAATTTGTCGTGGTTTTCCACTAAGAACCGCTTCAATAGCATGGCCACAACCTTCTGTTCCTACCCTTACTGTTATGTTCCTCTACGTTCCTACAAAATAAAATGCAAGATTCTGTGATAGCTGCTTTTACCTTTCCATATAAACACATTGTATACATTGTAATATTAAACACATGATAGCAATATAATTCTTCCAGGTATGCAATAGAATTTAAAGTGCTGTGGAAAAAAAAGCTTACCATAGGGTCCAGCCCTGTGAACTGACATAACGGTAGTACTTTGTGTTCTTTCTCTTTCAGGTATTAAACACGAATGGCAAGTTAACGGTTTAGATGACATTCAGGACCGCTCTACCTTGGCAGACAAGTTAGGAGGGAGCGTGGTAGTTTCGCTCGAAGGGAGACCCTTGTAAACTGACAGTCAAGTGCCATCTGGATCCAAGAAGCTTCCATTACAGCATCCCTGTTGATATCATTTGATCCTGTTGGGATAGTTTTAGTTTTTGGTTTTTATTTTTCCACACTGAAGGAGATCTCATTAACTTAAAACACCTACCAGCGATTGGCATTCGACTCCCCCGAGATCCTGGTAGATCACACACGTAGAGCTTCAAGGAATGCTTTCACGCCATTTGTTCTGCCAGAAACCATCGCGAGAAGAAGGAACACCCACAAGTGGCGCTGCATGCATTCCTTGCGACAAGTACAGCAACAATTTCATGTTCACTATCGTACGACAAATCCAGTACGATTCCTGAATGCCTGACAGCTCTGTCCACTACCGAGGCACCAGCCAGTATTCAACACTACCGATTTGCACTTGTTTGAATTTCCATGAGGCATGTGATATAACTTCCCACCTTCAGTACCCTGGGGTTTCTGACATGGCAAAACCCGTTTCACACTATGCAGAAAAAAAGCACTTTTTTGTAATTGTTTTGTTTAGACACTTCGGAAAGGAATGCCAATTGAGTTTCTGTATTTATGTCACCTAGGAGTTAACGTACCTCGGCTTTCATTCCTGATCATGCATATTTAAAACAATGCTTTTCCGTTGCCTTCTTGCTTTCCTGAGAACGTACGCTGTCACTGATTTAAACAGAAGAGGGGGGAGTGGGGGTGGCAGGGAAACTACTGCGATTTCACAACCCAGAGAAATATATACATCCTCATTCAAGATGGCAATATCTGTACGAGCGGAGCCTTAAGTGGAATATTGTTTCTGAGATCAGTGAAGTTGCCACTTTGCAATAAAACCTTGTGGCTTATAAAGGAAAGCTGCCTTTTTCCATTTATTTGAGCAGCGTCTTCATCTGATTTTGAGTTTTAGTTTTCATCAGAGTTCATATTGGGGTGTGGGGGGGCATGATGAAGATCAATAGTGACGGGGAAAAAACTCCCCCTCCTGAAGTGAATTCTGTATATAAATACAGAACAGGCGCTGGAACAGTCAGCGTTGTGAGCAAATTGAAATGGGTATGTTCGTCCGGGAAGCTTCTGTAACTCAGTAATGTTAGAATAGCCACCACATGTGTTAAGAGACAAGTATGTCAGGGCAGTTGGTCTACTGATAGTAAATGTGATGGACTAAGCTCTTTAAGTTGGATACTGTTAAAATGGAGTTGCATGCTTATAAATATCAAAGAATAGCATATCTATTTTGTTCAATTTCTGTGAAGTTGCCTATTGGTGATTTGCTTGTGGCATTCGTTTTAAACGTGTGAAAAGAAAGTGAAGGAAATAAGGAAAAATACATTTCACGGCATTGTAGTGCAAACACTTGGGCCTGTTTTCAGGGGCTGATTGTTTGCTTTTCTTTTTGGTAATGATAACATTTTTATTACATAATAAATTTGTGCTGTCTAAACTTTGATAAAGGAAAACAATTTGGAAGTGAATGGAATTCCTGTGGGATGTTTTGGGAGTATCAAAATATTCTTTAGTCTTATTTAAAATAATTGCCGAAATTTATAACCTGTTTTCATCTGTTTTTTTTATATATATACAGCGACGTCTTCTAGAATGAGAGCCTTGTGCTTTCAAACACCTGGGCCACTGTACATAGAAATACTTCTTACTGCAGAAGGTGTTAGCAGGCATGTCTTTTTAAGCGCTAGACCTGTGCTTTATTAATCCGACAACCCTGATGAGGGTGTGAGAGTTTCAATGAACTTCACAAGTTCTTCACTCCGGTAGCAGGAGCGTTTCAATGAGGCGAACACTTCTTTCATTAGAGCCTGAGTCTGGACAGGAGCCAGAGGCCGCTCTCCTTGTAGAGAATTTGAGCCGCACTCTGTGAGCAATCCTCTGGTAGCCAGTGCTATTTATGGCCAACACATGCTTTTGTATCTTGTCATCGTTGTCCACAAATGGCAAAACAGGACATGTCTTCAGACCTCTGCAAAAGGGAAGCCCCCACAGGCCAGCTGAGTACAGCTAATATAACAGATGCATTTCTCAATAAAAGACTATACGGAGGTGAGGGCTTTTGCTTATTTAATGTAGACTAAAGACAATGTGTTAACCTTCTTTTCCTTACATTACATTACTGCTCTAGGATTGTATGTTAAATAGTTCAGATGTTTCAAGTGTCACTCCTGCAATCAGGAGAAACGTGGAGGAATTAAGCCTTGAATGTTTTTCGCTGTCTTTGCCAGGCCTATGGAACATGTTTGTTTGGTGATTGAAATACCTTGTTCCTATGATCCCTCCAGAGTTTAATTAGATTGTGTCCTCTCTTAACTCTCCACTGTCCTCTGTTACCTTGTTAACTCTATACCTTACAGAGCATATGATTCCAAACATCTTACAAGGATGTGAACCTAGGAAATCTCTTATTGGGGTCTATGCATTCTTCCTAGAAACACTACTTTTTGTTATGTTCTTACAACAGTAGAATTTATTAAAAGATAGGAGAGATGTTACAAAAATACGGTTTAAAAAAATGGTCTAAAATTCTGCAAAAGTGGGAGAGAAAATTTAAATATGGCAACATTTTCTAAAGAAACTTTTCTGTTTGACATGGTGAAAGACTTAGAACCCATCCATAATTCATTGTGTTATGCCAGAACAGCTTTATTCTAAACATTGGAGTTAAATAGATATTATATAGAATTATATAAACAAAATAGAATAGCATATCTGTGGACTTCTTGTGATAGCTATTCTTTGAGGACCTTTTCATTACTTGAATACTGAGCTTTGTGAAAACCTAAATACACAAAATTATCTATATACATGGGATTTCAGGGAATCACAATAATTTTTGTTCTAATAGAATCTGGCAAATTTTATGTCGGATCATTTTTATTTATTTGTAATCTTGACATTATGCATAATTATTCTTCTATCACTGCAGTTAACAAGATTGCAAATTTATGGAAGAGTACAAGTTTTCAGTTCTCAAAGCTGTACATTTAGGAAACTGCACAGATAATTAAATGAAAAGCAAACAAGATTGCTGTGTAGTTAATGATAAATAATAAATAAATAGTGATAACCTAACCCAATGGTGTTGTGCATAGTGCTAAAGAAAGTAAAAAAGTAAATGAAAAAAATAATGAACACAGGATAAACTAGGGCAGCATTGACAGACGAAGCCTCTGAAAGTCTGAGATTTAGTTCTGGGTACAGTGGGCAAAGCCCCAGCCTCAGCTGAGCAGAGCTTATAGGAGGAAGTGTAAACGTGGAGGAGTTCAGAGCTGTATGAAGGATCCAGATTAATTAGATCCTTAAAAGGTCATTAACAAGATCGTAGAAAATGTGACTTTATAGACGACCAATGTAGTGATTTAAGTTTGATGTGCTGTCAGACGTCTAGCTGCTGGGTTTTAGACATTTTGCTACTTACTCAAAAGAGTGTCAGGGAGGTCTCATAGTACAGAGCTGCATGATGCTGTAAATGTATGAATCAGGCACTTGGCATCAGACATGGGTAGATATTGCCTAACATGGGAAAAACAGATGTCTTAATCAAATTTTTCACATGGGGCTCGAACAACATGAGAGGACCGTGTGACTCCCAGATTCCTGCCTGTGTCTCAGGCCTGTATAGGGGGGCCAAGCACTGTGACTGTGAAGCTCAATAAAGCTTCAATAAAAACATATTTCATTACAGAGAATTAAACACTTAAGTGTTGCTGAAAATGGGGGACCCTAGCAAACAATTTGATGACCAGCAGTATCCCTGTTTCCTCGTGCTTTCGCTGTTGATGAAAATGCCCCTGGGTGTTTCCATGCTGTCCTTCCAGTGAGTCAATCGGCATGTCACCCAGACCAGTCACACGCCAAGCACCCGACACCAGAATAAACAAGTTGTCCATTCGGCTCCAGCAGGTGCTGCGTCCAGGGGGGTGTCTCAGATCTGCCAGGAGACCCCAGCCTGTCGAGTGGAATGATGAAATCGAGCTTCTTTGTAAAGTTTCAGCACGTGATTTTTCATGAAGCAGTCCAGTCCCAGTCCAGGTGGCTCAGTGCGCCTACACAAATAACCAGCACCTAACTGGGGAAAAGCTATCAAACTGGTCAAAATAAGACCATAATGAGCTCATTTAGGTTAAGCCCTGAGTTGGCACAAAAACCTGTAGATGCCTTGCCCAAGCTTTCAAGACTAATGCAGGGGATCTCCAGTCTCGGTCCCGGAGAGCTGTAATCCATCACCTTTTTTTGTGTGTCTCTGTTATATTTTTACATCCTATTGCTGTGCAGTTAAGCAGGGAATTTGTTCAACTGGTGAATCTGATCTTTGAGAGTTGGAGAGTACACAGATTTTTGTTTCAAATAATCACTAAATTATTAACAATCTTCTCCATTGCTCCCATTCAAATTGTGCTGAATTTTAAAAAAATCAGATTTAATGGTGACCTCAACCCCTGATGTATTATTCAGTCAGAGACCCCTGATCTGGTATTATTTTTACATTCTACATTTTGGAGAAAATAGAATGTCATAAAGGAAACAACTCTCTCTGACATGAGTTTTAAGAATTCAAATAATGCATCATCCATCTAAATCAAATTATACCACAGATTTAACTAGAATTGAAAAGCTGTCTACCAATCATATGTAAATCTGTGAATCTTTGCTTTTAAGTGATAGAGCTTGGAGGAAACCACTTACTTTAGCTGGAGCAGAAGATTCTTAAGAGCTGATGAACACAATTGAAAGCTATTAGCTGGATCCATTCAAGTCAGTCCTCCAAGGCTGTTTAACAAAGTAAGACAAGCTTTTTTTCTAGGCACAACTAAACACACCATAGCCCTAAAAAAACGGACACTCCTTTAAATCACCGCAGTTAAGAAAAAAATGAGAGGGGCTGGAGTAAACCATGCAGCTAGGGTTTGGGCCAACCTCTTCCTGCATTGTACAAAACAAAAATAACATTATCAATAAATAAGCAACCAGTCATCTCTGTTTTTCTTTCAGAAGAATGAACTACACCATTAACTCATTACTGTCCGTGTGCAGCCTGTTAGGGCCTAGATCTCTTTCCGCTTTAACACAGCGACCCACAAATCGATGCAAACCGGAGATATTTCATTGCAGTTCGCTTTAACAAACAGATGCTAATCCCTCGGCCCTTCATCTCTCACCGAGGGACTCAGTCCGGTACTGAGAAAGGCGCAGTTGAACGGAAAAATAAGTGTCGAATCGGTTTCTCTGGGCTCTGCGGTAAAACCAAATAGCTGCAGGCGCGATTGTATCAGCTGTCAGTAGCTTAGCAGAAATACACTCTATCGCGTTCCTCACTGAATTACCAAACGGACTTACTTGATACCCAAAATAGATAAAAGGTTTATTTATATAGCTTTGCTTTCTTTTTTAAGTCTTCTTATCCAATCTTCTCTGGACAGACACGACCTATTTATAGCTCTCTGTAAATGGCAAATGGTCGTCAACATTTTCTCCAATTTCTCTATTACAAGTTCATAAAATTATAATTAAAATGTCGAGACATTAAATCACTTATGACCCCTAAAAAATCTTCACAATCTTATTTTTTTTAATATCAGCGGAACACGTTATACAATGAAAACAGCGAAGCCATTTGAGAGTGTAACTTAGATCTCATATTGTTTCAGCTTGTTTCTGCCAGTTTATCCGAGTCCAGTTTCTACAGATAAAGTCGTGTGATGTGTAAACATTTCAGACAGATGCTTTGGCTCACTGTTGAAATGTTTTTTCTCTTTCTCAGCCTATGAATTAGTTAATTGGTTAAAAGCTAAGTCTGGGAATTCTGGTCATCTAATTTCATGTTTTAAAAAAGTTTTTATTCAAACAAGGAGCAAGTCATCTGAACGTTGCAAATCATGACAGGTGACTGATGTTCAATTATTCCACCATTTGCCATTTTTGATATGAACAGACTTTCACTGAACGATGGATACACCATATCCCAATCACATCAAATAAACGGCCATCATCATCATGTTCGCTTACACGCACGAATTGCGCAAATGCAATATTGCAATATCTCTTAAACAGGCAGATGTTTATTTTGATTCAGATACGTCTGCTCAATTGAAAGACGGGTATCCAATCTGTGCTGAAAAGGAAATGTGGGTAGTGCAGACTGGATGAAAGTGAAAATAATCACCTCCGTTATTTTATTGCCGAAGTGTAAATATGTATTGCAACACTACAGGGCGCCATATTTTACGTTCGCAGGCGCTGCGAGTTTCCTGCGCCTGATTTGCACCTCTGGTGCCACAGCCTGTGTGCGTGATTCACTGAAATGGAACAGATCATAAGAATCATATTTGTGCTTTGAAATGTCCTATTTATTTCATGCTTTTTGTTTTGATAAAAAGGAGCGTTTGCGCCACCTGCTGTTCGTTTTGTATATCACACAAAGTAAAGTAAAGTGGTAAAAGTTTAGTTCATGGGTCACATTTTTGTTAAAGGAATGTTTTCTCACAATAAACGGACTTCCAGGATCTTTTAAAACAGCAAACATGTGTATCCAAAAAATAATCAGCTGTCAAGAGGCACATCCTTCCTTGTAATCATGTTGTTGTTTTTGGAAAAAAAAAGAGCATTTATTGGATTGAACTTTATAAATCTTGTTTTATAAAATCAATCACCGATTAGTGCACACGTTTTTTTTTTCATTTTTAAGAATTATTTTTAAACGTAAAGATTTTTTTTTGCAAACTAAAAGATTACAAAAACACAAAGAAAATGAGTGTGGACAAGGCCTTTCCTGACGTGGAAAGGGTCAGTAACTTCAAATTCCTTGGCATCCACCGAGGACCGAGGACCTCGCATGGTCTCTCAACGCCACCTGTCTGATCAAGAAAGCTCAACAGCACCTGTACTTCCTAAGACGGTTGAAGAAGGCTAAGATACAGTATGTCCCCAGATCCTCACTAACTCTTACAGATGCACTACAGAAAGCCCACTGACAGGCTGCATCACAGTGTGGTATGGCAACCGCAGTATTGCTGACCGCAGAGCCCTACAGCGGGTGGTGAAAACTGCCCAGTCCATCACTGGGGTTGCCCTCCCATCCATCCAGGACATTTATGACAGACGGTGCCTGAGGAAAGCTCTAAGCATCATCAAAGACCCCACACACCCCAGCTACAGACTGTTTGACCCCCCTACCATCTGGAAAACAGTACCGGAGCATTCGGGGCCGGACTACCAGACTCAGAGACAGTTTTTACCCCCGCACTGTCAAAATATTAAAGCCTCTCTCACCTACGATCTGTCTGCTTACAGTGCCTTCTCTCTTTTTCAAAACTCAAACACACATTGGAATCTACAGTACCTCTACCTCACGTCTAGACGTTCACCCAACATAATTTTCAGCTTTATTTCATTCTGTTGATGTATGATTTTGCACAACTGTTGCCGTTTTGCACAATACCTGTTACCTGTTGCTGTTTTGCACATTATCTGTTGTTGTTTTGTTTTGCACATTGCCTGTTGTCTCCGTCTTTCTTTTCTAACACAGTTGTATTGTTGTTTTTTGTACTACTTATCGTCTGAGACGGTAATAATATACTGTATAATGAGTATAAAGAGTATAATGTTTACAAAATAAACTTGAACTTGAATAACCATTACTAAATGATGTACTGTATGGAATTGAACCGCTTGCTTGTTTAGATTTTTTTTCTGCACAGTTTGGTTTCATACATTCCTTAAAGTATTTTTTTTTTCCCAACGACGTCGAGCTACAATTTGCTCCCTTATTTCTGACTAAAAGCTCTTTTACAACACTCTTACCTTTTTTTTTCCCTTCTGCTTCAAACCCATTGCTTACAATTCATAGCCGGCAGCCATATCACTCCGCAGCTCACAGCTGGCAGCCCACCGAAGCCTGGGCAGTACCTGGATGGGAGACCTCCTGGGAAAAACTAAGGGTTCAGAACAGTATAGTAAGGGGGACACTATACTGTAAAAAGGGGCTGTCCTTTGGATGAGACATAAAACCGAGGTCCTGACTCTCTGTGGTCATTAAAAATCCCAGGGTGTTTTTCGAAAAGAGTAGGGGTGTAACCCAGGCGTCCTGGCCAAATTTCCCATTGGCCTTTATCAATCATGGCCTCCTAATAATCCCCATCTCTGAACTGGCTTCATCACTCTGCTCTCCTCCCCACTGAGAGCTGGTGGGTGAGGAGAGTACCGGCACATCATCCAGGTGGGGCTGCACACTGGTGGTGGAGGAGGGGATCCCCATGACCTGTAGAGAGTGTCCAAAATGTAATTTTAATTGAATAATAATTAAATGAATTTGATTAGATTATTATTATTACAGAACACATGAATGAGGGGTGATTCTGAAATTTAGGAATCGGCGCAGCTTTTCAAAAACTATAACCATACAGCTTTTTAAGAGCTGAAGGAAATTTTTAAACATTCAGAAATAAATAAAAAAAATCCATAATAGACAGGAGACCCCCCTCCCCCCAAGACTAGGACTGGAGTTGACAGCAGTATACGTTACACTGTAATAACGCTTCTCGTTAAAAAAAAAAAAACGTGAATCAAAGATTAACTCTAGATTTCAGGTTTAGGGAACTACAGCATCAAGATGAATCCAGTTTTTTAAAAAAAACAAACAAACAAACAAACAAACAAACAAACAAACAAACAAGGCTGAACATTTTCATTAAAACGCTGTTTCTAAAATACACCAGGTCACGTTTACAAGTGCGTCGTGGCTGTGGAAGATGTTTCACCCCCGACAGGGTCGTCGTTCATCGGCTCAGGCATGATCTTCCCGGGGCCGGGGTGCAGCTCGCTGGCCCCGCCGCCTGCGATTTGCAGAGCCCCCCTCAGCTGCCCCATGGAGCCCTTTTTGTGCCATATGGGCACTCGGAGCGGGTCACCCCCCCGCAAAAGAAGTGAAGTTCAACAGCAGCCCCGCTCTCTCCCCCGCCCCCCAGCGGCCGCTCCGTGCCCACCGCGCCGGCTCCTCCTCCTGCCTCCCTGCGCCGCACGTCAGCGCTCCGCCACAACTCCGCTCGCAGTCGCAGCCATGATGGTAGGTGTTTCTCCAGCCTTTCGCCTGGCTTACCTTCATCTATTTCTTTAAAAAAAAAAAATCGCACGCACTCTCTCAGTTGGAAAAAAAAAAAAAGGTGCTCAAGTGACTAGCCGTGCTAATGTGCGTCCTGTGGTCTCCTGATTTTCTTGTCTTTGTAGCAGGAAGGGTTAGACGACGGTCCCGATTTCCTTTCCGAAGAGGACAGGGGAGTAAGTTTGTTTTTTTCCCACCCCTCCTCCTCCTCCTCCTCCTCATGCTGCATCTTACTTTTTAGAAATAATGAGACTTGCGCCTTTATTAATTCTCTTCCACGTCAATGAGGAGAATGCATGTGTTTTTCCGTTCTGCTGATGCGCTTCAAGTTTTTAGCTACTGCTTGACCAACAACCACTCTGACTTCCTATTAGCTAATGTGTATTATTGTAGATTTTGCGCCGGTGGAGTCTTTGAGTACATATTTCCCCAACATTTATGATGTAGTGTAAGCTGTTTACATAGGTATATTAATGTAATGGGGTTATTTTCCCGTGATTACATCAAAGTATATGTATTGAGGCCCTGTAGGTAATGCTCGTTATTGCCAACAGGCTGCATTATCCAGTGGGAGCTGAATGTTTTTCCTTTTCTTTGGACTGAAGAATAGCCGAAGCAAAGAATGTGATAGTGGGCACCAGTGCCACTGGTCACTGTGCATGGGCCCTGGATGTGGCTGTCAAAAGTCAAAAATCTGTACTGCAGGCTTGGTCAGCAAATGCATGAGGCAGTGCTGTGATGGGCCAGATACTTGTGTGCAAGCTTTGATTTGCTTAGTGTGTAGTTTCGTTACTGCTGCTGAATTAAAAAAAAAACGTGGTCATGGGCCATTTGAGAACAAGTATTGTCGTTCGGGTGAAGGTAACTCTTTCCAAAGGATGAGAAGGACACCCAGCGCTCCACTCACGGGCAGTGGGTTTCCTTGTCTTGCTTTCAGTATAGCTGTTGCTCACGATGTGCTAACGAGGAGAGACTTAATGGGAGAAAAAAAAATAGCCCCGATGTTCAATAATGTAAATACCACGCCTTTCTGTTCTGTGTTTTCAGACGTGATTGTCACTTGTCAGCCAGTTACAGAAAACCAGAAGCTGCATGTTTAATAGTGTGCCTACAGTCGTTGGACTAAATTTTCATTAACAATTAACTGACTCTTCCTGTTCTCTCCCGTGAGAGGTCCCCGATTCAGTTTCTGCCTGTAAACCCCTCTTTATCAAACCAAACTTTCAAGAATTGCCTGCTGGAAGCATTCGCGGTATTAATCAATGATAGCTTTCAGAAAAAAATGCAGAAGAGGATGAATTCTATATTTCAGCAAACAGCTTTTCCGTTTGTGCTCATCAGGACAAATGAAACAGTTACATTATCTTTTGCTTCCTCTTTATAATTTCTGAAAGCCGGTGATGGGTTCAGACACTGGGAAAGCCCCTTGTAAGACAGAAAATAAGTGTCTTCACAGTTGGACTCCTTAATGCATCACGTAATTCTCTGAGGATTTGTGTGTTTTCAGAAAGGTACGTACGTAGGCTGTAGATTGTTCTATGCAGGGGCTGATCTGAAGCTGCAAGTGCACTCCACCGAAGGACTGTGTGATCTTGCACCCTGAGCACCGTCCCTTAGATACATTTTACAGTTCTCTTCATTGTAGTCAAAATGTAAGTGTATCTCGTATGTGAATGTTAGCTTGCAAAAACCCCTTTATCACTGACAGGCTGTTAAAAGATTCAGCAGAGTGGAAAATATCTCCCTCCTGAATGCTATTTTAAAAATTACTTTTGCCTTCTGTCTTATCTAGGTTGCTTCTACACCATTAAAAAGCTGTCAGATGATTTTTGCAAACGTGTGTGTGTGTACTGTGGTTCTGTTCACTATATTGCAAGTTAGTTGTTTATAATGCTGGTGTTTTTCCTACAGCCCAGAGCAGTAAATGTGGATCTTCAAACTGATGCAACACTTCAGGTAGACATCTCGGATGCTCTCAGTGAGAGGGACAAAGTAAAATTTACCGTTCACACAAAGGTACGTCCTGTTTTCTTTTATATTGAATCAATAATGAATTTCAAACTGTAGGTTATTTAAAATTGACCCCTATGGTCAAGTACTGTCTTTTGGCCTAATAATAGCTGTTGAAGTTCTTCATTAAAATCCAGTGAGGATTTTCACTCTGAAGGAGGATCTCCGCGGAGCTTTATAGCACCAGAAAAAGAGTGCATAATCAGTGCAGTGAACATTTGTTCATAGGCATCAACTGACATTTATCATCTTAAACACAGTTTTCCAGATCACTGCCTTGTTTGCATGTTCATGTTTAAACCCAGTTTAAAGTGAGTGCAAGCTCTCTTCTCAGGTTTTGACCTTGATGTGATATTGTATTGACTCCAGACTGGGGATTATGCTGATCTTGGTCTTTCAGAGCTCTTTGCCAAACTTCAAACAGAATGAGTTCTCAGTGGTTCGGCAACATGAGGAGTTCATCTGGCTTCACGACTCTTTTGTTGAGAACGAAGAATATGCCGGTTACATTGTGAGTACACAAAAAAAACAGCGCCGTTTAAAACTAGTATTTTTCATAAGAATTCTAGTGAATTTATACTCTCCACTCCCTTATAGTTTCATTTCCTTTTTGCACTGATGGCATGCAGAACATAATAAAGCTTACAAATGAGAGGAGGCCATTCAACCCCTCTGGCCCATGAGGACATTGGTAGTTAATTGATCCCTGGACTTCATAATTGATCCCTGGACTTCATTCCGTGTCTGGAAATAAACCAGGAAACTGGCTTCAAAGACGTGGCTGGATGGCTTGTTCCACACTCCCACAACCCTTTGCATACAGAAGTGCCTCCTGTTCTTGGTTTTAAGGGCACTTTCATGTAGTTTCCACTTGTACACCCTGTTCTGTGTCTCACTGTGGACTGAAGTCCACTGGGTTGAGTGTGTCAGTGCCTTTGACCGATTTTTAAACACGTGTTGGGTTGCCTTGAAGTCTGCTCTGGTCCATTCCTTCAGCCTGTCATGTTGTGAAGCAAACATGTTAGTCTTTCAGCACTGTATCAGCGTGTAGGTTAAAACCTGAAATAGATGAGTTAATTGTGACATGAATAATAGATGTGTTAACGGACGTAACTAACACACTGTGGTAGCTACGCATTATCTGGTCAATTGAATTGTCAGATGTATTTCATGGGGTTTTATTCATGTTTATAGATTGTTTTTTCACAACAATGTGGTGTTTGAAAGCAGCAGTAACGCAGAACAGCAGCACATGTAAACAATTGTAGTCTGTGCCTTTGAGGACAGTACTTCTTGTGCTTTCCATCAGAAATGGTATGTTTGCCCTCTGCTTTTTTAAAATCAGACTCCAAAAGAAAGGGGAAAACTCTGCTTTGTTGTATTTTTAGAATTTAAATATTTTAATTATTCAGCTAAATATTTTGTCTTCCAAACCTCAGATCATCTGTCATAGAAAATACACATGCAGAGAACATTTCCTTTTCAGGGTCCTTGCGTTCAACAGTTTGGATAGTATATTCAAAACACTTTGGCCCCTCAATTCCCTTTGTTTTTTTTATGGGAATTTCAAAATAAATCCTTTGGTGCTCAATGCAGATTCCATCATTCAATTCAGTTCACGTGATTTTTTTGATGCATGGAAAATTAATAAACTACAGCGTAGTTTTAAATATTTCATTATCAAAAGTGGTTACATTTGCATAAACCTGGCACTTTCTGCGGCACAACCGCGGGACTGAAGTGCCCCATGTGGAATTATTCGGCTGAAATGGAAGGACATTCTTGACATTCTATGGATGATGTATGCTTTTTGCTAGGTATTTACATGGCAGCAATATGTTGAGCCTTACGTGAGTCTGTTGGATGCAACCCAGGCTACACTCACAGCTAAGTCTTCAACAGCTTGAGTCATGTCTGTGCCGTGAGGAGGGGGGCTGCTGTCACATGATGGATTGGCTTGGTTGATTATGAGAAAGCCAAGTGTTTCTGTGCTGAAGAAAGAGCCAGTGCAATGTTGTATGCATTTTCTGAGTATTGTTTGAGCTCAATGAAACAAAGGTGAGAGGCGGCCGACACGAAAGCAGTTCACTCTCTGTCGAGCTTCTGAGCAGAAGAAAGTTTTGATGTGTAGAATGTGTTTCTTTGGCTCTCAGCAAGGCTCCTAGTGTAGCGGATTAAGAATGATCTACATCATGCTCACATTGTCCTTTCACAGACTGTATCAGTTGAGGTACAGTCTCGTTTTGGAGCGACGGGGTGACTGTGAAGTCACCGAGCAATCTAAGGTTCTTACTTTGTTTAACCACTACAAAACTCAATTCAATTTTGATTTATTTTTAGTTTTTTTTTTCCCATTTCTGTGCAGTGTTAACGGCTGTTGTGGGGAAAAAAAGGCAGTACTGGTGTCATTTGATAGAACTGGGAGCAAAGCTATTTTCGATTGTGTTTGTGAAGTTCTGACAGATTTTCTTTTGAGAATCATTGACGTGTGGGTATTCTGTTCTGTCATTCAAGTGTGACTGCCATGATTGATTAGTGTGGTGTGGTGTCTGGGGCAGTGATTGTGTTCAACATGGATTCTGTTTCCACTGATCATGGAAACACTGAACCCCCCATGTTAAGTGGGTGATGCATGTGATGGCTCAATATAAACCATTTATGCTCCCAGATCCCCCCTGCTCCTCCCAGACCAGACTTTGATGCATCAAGAGAGAAACTGCAGAAACTGGGGGAAGGAGAAGGATCTATGACTAAGGAGGAGTTCACTAAAATGAAACAAGAACTAGAAGCGTGAGTATATGAATCTCATTTCTAAATCTCTTCCTCTGCCTTGCCTTGTGTTAAAGCTGTTGGGATCGTTTAATGTGACACTGCAGGTTTGGCACAGTCTTGCACAGTGCAAAGCAAGAACTCTGAGTGCTTTCATGGACGTTTTAATGACATGTAGACTCGATCAGCCATTGGCTGATCATCTGGTGTGGCTTCTGCCAGCGGCTCCTGCACTGTCCCGCTGGGAATGATCTGGCACTGCAGGATTGGCTTGAAGGCACAGGAGAGCCTTGGTCTGAAGGTGCTCATCAGTGTGTCAACAAAGCACGAGAATGCCCTCGCTCACTTCCACAGCTAACAGATCCCTGCCCACCTTACCACACTTCTGCCGCCCTGCTGGCTGGCATATGCAACAGCTGGCATAATGCACACAACAGTGCATAGATATTGCTGAGCCGCAGAAGAGACAATTTCATCTCCCCGTCTACGTGTTATTCCTAAGCATGCTGCTCTTTGTCTGCTCATGCAGACAGCTAGCTAACGTTATTCTGGAAATGCCAGGTTAGTTATTCCTGGAATGTCTCGGGCTGCAGGCAGTGTAGTCTGGAGACAGCTCTGCAGATGAATCAGATAGGTGACCCTCTGCTTTCCTGGACACAGAGCTGATTCTTCACTATGAGTTCAGATTGTTGAAGCAGAAAATGTATTTTTGTGGGTAACTTAACTCGGACTCAGGCTGCCTTCATAATACCCAATTGGTCTTCATTACTTATTTACAATTGTGTGTTTTTGATTGACTAGACAGATTCTTAATTTGCTCATTTGGGCAACATTCAAATATTGGAACATCAGCACCTGGTTTTTCTAAGAAATCCGTGACTTAACTCTGCATTTTGTATTTCCAAAGAACAATAGGACTGCGTCAAGAAACCTGTCTGCTCTCTAGTTAAAATCTAAATATCATGGAATATACTTGCTTTTTCACCTAAGGCTTCTGAGATTTTTTTTGTTGGATAAATAATGACAAAGTAAAATTTGTGTTAAGTCACATGAGGACATGGTGAGGAACAGATGAAGGTCATATATGTTTTACTGTGTAAAACCATGGCATCATGGAGGCTGTACTTGCTTTTTCACATGGATGTAAGGGGTTGAGGCTGATCCCTTGTCTTTTCTCATGAACCAGCTGGGTGAGATCTTGGACCAATACTATCTGCCAAACAGGCCAGCAGGGCTGCAGGGCGTCCTCTCATTGGTGACCTCCGTGTTCTTCTCTTGTGTTATTTCTTGCAGAGAATATCTGGCCATTTTCAAGAAAACGGTTGCAATGCACGAGGTCTTCCTGTGCCGTGTTGCTGCTCACCCTGTCTTAAGGAAGGACCTGAACTTTCATGTGTTTTTAGAGTATAACCAGGATGTAAGTTCACAAGCCCACTTCGCATTCACTTCTCTGAATTTATTTTGAGAAGAGCTGTCATAAGAGCTGTTACACATTATACTGATCGTTGGTTTTGACCTTGAGATGAACATGTGCTTCACAATGTATGTCATTGTGCCCGTGAGGTGGCTTTTATCTTTCATTGCTGGGATTACAGCCCTATCTACTCAGTGTGCTTTTCTTTTTTGTGCAGATAAGCTTGCTTTATGGTTTGAATTGGTTTGAATCTTGTAGAGTTAGTTGTAGATTTTTGATGGCGACAAACATACCAGCGTTGTGCATCCCAGGCTTTGAAAGATACAGGCTGCTGACTGGTATCCAGAAAAAGGCTGAGAATTGGTAGCTTTTTCTTGAGCTCGTAGGGTGAAATTGTCAGAGTTCTTAAACTGTCTGGTCACACCTGGGTTCCGCTGGTGGTTAATGAATATACCAGGAGTGTACAGCACATATGTGTCTTCTTGAACAACTCGCCGGTTAGCCTTTGAACTTGATTAGGGTTTGTTGCTGAGCAACATGTCTCCCAAACTGTCAGTAGTTAACAGTTCTTGTGAATCTGAAAGAGAAAGAGAAGAGGGTTGTCTTCTTGAGTTTTGTTGACTAAATTCTTTACCTGTCTTATTTGTTGTCTGGTGCATCACACTGTTACACTCGGCCTTCTCTCTTTTCTCATCTGCAGCTAAGTGTTCGAGGCAAGAACAAGAAAGAGAAACTTGAAGATTTCTTCAAGAACGTGGTGAAGTCTGCGGACGGAGTCATCGTGTCGGGGGTAAAGGTGAGGAGAGGTCGCACGTTCAACAGCTTCGTGTTGTTGCTCTTCTGGGTCTGGTGGGGCAGACATGCACAGTCCACAGCAATCCAAGGCAAAAGACGTAGGAAGTAACAAATGGATAAATGGATCTCCTTTGCCAGGCGGTCTGATAATGTACCCTTTCTTTTTGGTATAAAACGTTCCGTGGTGCGTGATGGTATCAGTAAATTATATCAGGCGAGAGAAAGGAAAATATTTGGTTGTGAAATTCTGTAAGAACCTGAGAGCTTCGTTTTTATCAGGTTTTGCTTTTTGCACTGTAGGATGTAGATGATTTCTTTGAACACGAGAAGACTTTCCTTTTAGAGTATCACAACCGCGTGAAGGATGCCTCGGCCAAGTCCGACAGAATGATCAGATCTCATAAAAGTAAGTTGTCTCCTGCGTTTCCTTACGTGCTTTTGAAGTAAGAGAGAGATGTGCTGCGGAGGATTCTGAACCAGGTCTTTAAAGAATGCATGGGCAAATGATCCACTGATGTAATCTGTAATGGCACCACCTGCCTAGTTAAATCTAAATCACTCTTCATTCTCAATTAATTGTCTTGAAATGGTAACTGAACTTTTTTATCCTGTTTTATAATATATAGTATCATGTTTTTCCACAAAGACTTACATATCGGTAATGAGCTTTGTATTTTACTTTGACTTTTTAAATTGTTTTGCTGACATATGGAAATGGGTAAGTTACAGTTTAAATCTTTGCAGTTTGCAGTTTTACACAAAGGGTTGTGGGAGCCTGGAACAAGCTACCTAGCCATTCTGTTGAAGGCAATACCCCGGCTTCTTTCACGAAACAAGTGGCTAAGATTGTCAAACCGATTAGCTGTTATCTAGCCTGTTTGGTAGTGAGGAAGAATGGTCTCATTTCATTTGAAACTGCTCTTCTTGTAATAAAGGCATCTGATTTCTTCATATTTTGTCCTCTGACTGTCCTAATACTGTTCTGCTGTGGTTTGAGTTTGTCAGAAAAGGTGCATCAATATAAAGAGGTTAAGTCTGTATTTGTTTTTCATATGGTTTTTACACAGTTTTTTGTAACAGTTTTGTGACATTTGTCACAAGACATGCTGTGGTATATAAACAACCAAGATCTATGTGGTTTCCACAGGTAACATGATACTATATATGTATGTAGAATCCTGTATTAGTCATTACAGAGCCCATTCTAGTCTCAAAAGGTAACTATGTAAAAACAGAACACTTAAGCTATGTGTTAAGTTTCATTGACATCAGCCTAAGGAACAGTAAGAAGGTTGTCTGGACCCTGAAGCATTTTCTAATTCCTAGTTTAGTAGCTGTTCCTTCATTATGGATCCAATTTCAAGGATGCTTCATCTTCTTTCTTTGTTAGGTGCTGCAGATGATGTCAACAGGATTGCCTCTACGCTGTATACCCTAGGAACTCAAGACTCAACAGATGTATGCAAGTATGTGCCTACAAGTGTCACGGGGAATATTGTTTTTACTGAAGACAGTCAGGACGCATGTCACTTGAAACCTGGAGTTTAGCTACAGAACCCCTCATGGTCAGCTCCTGGATGTGTTGATCGGGCATTGTGCTTTTTGAAAGCAGATTCTGTTTAACACAATCTGCATTTCACTTCCTGCGCAGGCCATGGGAATGTGTGAGTGAGCAAGCATGTGGTTTAACATATGAAAGGCAATCTAAAAAATATGAGATAGCTGTTGTGTTATATATTTTAAAAGTTGTAAGCATTGCCACATATATTCAAATTGATGGCATTGTCAGCAGCAGATGCAAAAACACTACACAAGTACTCTTCTGCATTTACAGTGTAGTGCTTTTTTGTCTTGGTGGTTTTGGTTACACCTGTGAATTCGCAGATGCATGAAAAACAGTACGTCAAAGAAGGATAGACAAATTAAGTCACATCATTTTAAAATAAAGGAAATAAAAAGCAGAACCGTATGCAAAATGCATTTATTTAAATTTTGTGGCTTGAATATATGCAAATGTCTTTTACATAGTTGGATGTATTTTCAAAGTGTACTCTGAACTGTCTCATAACATTTTTACTTTCTCTTCTTCTTTGTGTCTGTTTGCAGGTTCTTCTTGAAAGTTTCAGAATTATTTGAAAAAACGCGGGTAAATATTTTCAGTAATATCTTTCATTTTCTGTACTGTACAGCATACCTATTAGAATGTATTTTGTGAACATTTCTCAGGCAATAGTACATAGTTTTCATTTTGTGAGTACATTCCAAGTCCTTATTTAATGTCTTTGGAATGGAAGCAGGAGTTCTAAACTACGGAAGTAGACAGCGGGCAACTGATTCAGGGTTAGAGTTTGTGCCATCTTTTCACAGTATGCTAAAAAATGCTTTTGCATACATATTAAGACAATGGTTTCTGCTTATTAAGTTGTTCTGAACTGGATCCAGTTTACCTGTTGTGCTTGGTGAGCCAATTTATTTTCTGTGTGCTGTGTTCAGTTTTGTTTTTAACTTATTGCTTTTGTGAATATTTTTGAATCACCTGCAGAAAATAGAAGCACGAGTGGCTGCAGACGAGGATCTTAAGCTGGCTGACTTGCTAAAGTATTACCTTAGGGAATCACAAGCTGCAAAGGTGAGTAACTCTTGGGTATGGGTATTACAATTGGCTTGCGGTCCGTACAGTGTGCAGCTACTCAGTTGTGCTATATCTAATACTTTCAGTGCATTCACAGCTGTGTTCTCTTCATACAGGATCTCCTTTACAGAAGAGGGAGGGCACTCGTTGATTATGAGAATGCTAACAAGGCACTGGACAAAGCTAGGGCTAAAAACAAAGATGTCCTTCAAGCAGAAACGAGCCAGCAGGTTTGCTGTCAGAAGTTTGAAAAGATTTCAGAATCTGCAAAACAAGGTAGATCTTTCTTCTTTTCAACGCCTCCCTAAAACATTCTTCCACCAAATGTCTTCTGCCGGCATTACTGATTCTCTAGCGAAGGATTGTGCTGTTGGGTGGGAACTGTGAACTTAGTACTCTGATTGAGGAGTATGCAAACCAAATGTTGCTCTTAGATTTAATCAATTTTCTCTCTCCTTGCCTTATTCTATTAAAGGAGAAAAGTCCTTTTTATAGCTTGCAGCTGTGTTTAAGCTTTAATGACCATTTGAAATGTTCAGTGTGCTCAAAGCCAGTTTTCAGTCTGCTCAGAAGCGTTTTGTGTTTTTGTTTTGCAGAGCTTATAGACTTTAAAACAAGACGGGTAGCTGCTTTCAGGAAGAACCTTGTGGAACTGGCGGAACTGGAGCTGAAGCACGCTAAGGTTATATATTCTTTTTCCGTAAATGTGAGGTCTGAAACAGTTGTGAGCAGTAAGGCTATAAACTCTTCCTTTCCTTTCAGGGCAATCTACAGCTGCTGCAGAGCTGCCTAAGTGTGTTAAAAGGAGACACATAAGCTGTGACTGGCCTGCACGCTGAAAAGGGCTTCACCTGTCGTGTCTCGTCTTGATTCTGAAGATGAAGGAGAGTGTTCCTGCATCTCTCATCTGCAGAATGCACATATTTGAGAAGCTGAGATACCTTGTTCCCTCTTAATTGCAAAAAAAAAAAGAGGAATTCAGCTGTGGATTAAATACCTGATGTCAAAAAGTTCACACAGCACAAGTATATCTTTATTTAATCACTTAGAATTTTCATTGTTAACAATCAAATATTGTTTTGTGGAATTCACAATATAAATATCACACTTCATTTATGTCAGACATTGCTTAGTGATAAAGAGGCAAATATAGTTTCAGTAATCTTTTATTGTGATGCTGCTCAGTACATTGTTCCAGGTGAGCTGATTGTTACTCTTATTAAAGTGTATTGTCACTAAAAACGCCTTGTATATGTTGTATTAGTTTTTACTATAATTTCTAATGAACATCTTATTTTGATTTATTCTCAGTTTTTATTTTTTAATATGAAATGGTAATTTCTTAAATTTGGGGGTACAACGTCTTCTGTAATGTCTTTTTATTTTCAAAATAAGCAAATGCTTCAGTATGTTTGCCTTAAAATATAGACTAATCCTAATGAGTATTGTAAAAATAAAATGCTATCTTAGTGATTTTTAAGTGCACTGTATGAATGTTTTTCACAGTCTGTGACCAAAGCTTCCATTGACTTAAATGGAGGAATGCTGATTTGATTATTAATAATAATAAACTACAATTTACTGTGAATTAACACTGTAAAGGATTTTTGTCAAAACAAGAAAGCAGTTTGTTTGGAAAGTAATATCGTTTGCCTCTTTCACAGTTTTGTGCAGTAAAATATGATGAAGTTTTACTTGATCAATCTCATCAAAATGTGGAATTCTTTTGCCTTTTTTTCTGGAAAGCTAACAACCAGCCTGGTTAACTCAGTATGGTGTTTCACTTTGCACAGCACTTTGAAACAGGCATCTCTTCCTTTTCTGGAATTAAAGGAATGCTTGAATATCCAAAACCTATTATTAGACAATTCCCATTTTCCTATAAAGATTGGATTGGACCTTTGCTTAGGCATGATCTTCCAGTCCTCCAGTCCTCCATTCTGCAATGGAGAAGAACGGTTTGCTCTTTTCAATAAGTCTTGCTGCTGTTCTGTGTAAAATGCGGTTTACCGTGTCTCAGGCCCAAGTGTCTTAAGGAAATCTTATTTCAAGTATGACCATTGCAGCACATCAGCATTGTTGCCCACAGCTGTGTCCCAGTTCTTAACATTTTACCTCAGAGGTTAGTGTTAAAATAAAGACAGCAGAGAGTTGCTGACACCACTCTTTCTAAAGCCTGGTATGTTTATCTGCATAAGGGGGAGGATTTCCTCCAGAGGCACAAAGTGTCTTGTTTTCCTTAAACGATGGACAGAACTGTTCAAACTATTCATTGGGCATTCTCCTGAAAGCTTCCTTACACACTGAGTTCTGACGAGCTGTTCTATTCCATTAATTGTCTTGAATATTTTTAACTTGGAAGTGGACTTTTCTATCTACTACTATAATTAACACCCAAGTGCCCAGTGCTCCTGGATGGGGTCTGTGTGCTCCAGTCGGGGGCTTGCATGTGTATCCAACAAACTGTCAATATCGCGTCTTTGAGCAACTAGTTGGGTACAGTTTAGGGATAAGATTAGTGCAGGGTTATTGTTAATGACACATTTTCAAAATATTTACCCGCAACATCAATGGTCTCTTAAGAGTACCAGAAGGTCAGAAAACATCAGGACCTCTGAACGTTTAGACTGTATTCTGAAAGTTTTGTAAAGGCTTTATATGCTCAGCACCTACTTTTAATTGGCCCTCTTTGGTAGTAAGAACCTAACCTCGGACTTCATCTGCATTACGAAAGTATGTGTATGTATTCTGTATGATTATCAAATGTAAGAAAAAAAGGTTTTCTAACTGGAGCAAACCGAACTTGAAAAAAAATGTTTTAACATAAGTGAGGATTGAGTAGTTTCATGTGAGGTTGTGAGTAAACATAAACTCGCAAATATATAGAGGCAAAAAAATAGTATGCTGAAAAGGGGAGCGAGATCACCTGAACACATTTGTAGCGTAGGAGTTACGTTGGAAGGAGGAAGTCGTGTAAAAATTTGCGTTCCTTGTCTGGTTCGGCGTGGAACTGAACTTCTCGGGTAAACGTTGCTCGGGGAATAGAAATGTGTGTCGGACCGCTTATCTTGTACGATTGCATGCACAAATTGCGTGCATCCGTTTATATGTAGCGAGTCTGTGGTGCATCTGATAAATAGACTGGCAAGAGGAGAAACTCGTTTTGTTTGTCAGCGATACTGTTTTGAGAAAATGAATCGAAGAGAAGATTACGATTCCTACGACATCGAGGAGCCTAGCGACGAGGAGGGCGCAGAGAGCAGGTAACTGTACGTTTAGAATACACACATTATTTGGCCTTACTGCCTCAGAGCGACTAGTTTTAATCATTGTAGTGGTACGTTTTCATAGCTGTACATGTTAATGGTTAGTACCAGGTCAGTTTTCCACTAATTCCGTTTGAAAAAAGAGGTTTGCATTATTGTTTCGTACATCGAAAGTTTAGTCTATGCGGTGAAAAGGGTTTCTAGTGAAGTTCTTCCTGATTCATCCAGAAATCGCAGTGTTCCTTTTTAGTTAATCGAGCTTCAGTTGTCTACAGGGAAGTTAGTTGTCCGAGAATAATTATATTACCTTGAAACATAGCGGCTTCTGTTGACACTGTTCATTTAAAGTAGCTGGCCTGCAAGATACTCCTCGTTAAAAACGATTATTTTCAGAGAAGCAAAAGCAAAAGTTACCGCCTTGTTATTCCGGACCCTTAACTTGTCAGAACCTAAATGCAAAGCAAGTCTTGGCCTACCCAGTACTGGATGGGAGACGTCTAAGGACAAGTTTTGGTGTTGGTGGAGTTCTTCCTTCATGCAAACATTTTGTAACCGCGTTATCCAATACAGTGTCGCAGGGGAGTGGGAACCCGGCAGGCAAGGCAAGATACACCCTTGACGGGCCACAAGTCAACTGCACAGACACAAACGCACTGTAGGTGGCGCTCTTCTCTCTGCTAATGCTCTTTGCAGGGAAACCAGCAAAGTTGGACAGGTGCTATTACAGTACTGGAGGTCAAGGTTTTGTGCACTTCATTGGTATACCTTCTGTTCACACATATTAAGATGTTCCACTGTATTTCTAGAATTGTTAAATAACAGTACGTCTGTGAAGGCTGTGTACGTTTTCCGTGGCGCACAACTGTCATTGTTGACTTTTTTCCGTGCCTGCTGTGCCGTGTGGTTCTCCCCAGCTCCGAGGACGAGATAGACGTGCTCCTTCACGGCACGCCAGACCAGAAGCGCAAGCTGCTCCGAGAGTACCTGACGGGGGAAAGCGCGTCTTCCAGCGAGGATGAGTTTGAGAAGGAGATGGAAGCGGAGCTCAGCTCCACCATGAAGTCCATGGAAGGCACTTGGGTCGCTCCGGCAGCACCAGCAGCAGGTCTTTCAGACGCTTTCATTGCCTGCCTGCACAAACCCCTGTAAACAGCGTGGAAGTTCTCCGCTGCTTTGATGAGCAAAGGCAGCCCTACCCTTTGTTGTGGAGGTCTGGAGATCCTTTATCGTAGAAAGTGCAAAGAATAATATTCTGAATGTAAAAAAGACTGTGAAACCTTTTCTGTCGTAAGTGATCGCAGAAAATGACATTTGACTGAACTGACTTGATATAGGCTAATTAAGTACTAAGGGTGTTCAACAGGGGCGTGTGTCAGCTGTTCAGGTCTGAGGCTAAGTGCTATTGACTGCTGTTGGAGGCAGTACAGGTTGCACATCTGCAACTTAAATGTAGGGACTAGGGAATCCACTGCATACCTGTCACAAAGGCATTGTTTCCTGAATTTCCTGTTACTTATGAAATCCAATAGTTAAAAGGAGACGTCCAACATGTTTAAGAGCTGGAAACAAACAGTTCAAATTCATCCAGGTGGGGCTGCACATTGGTGGTGGTGGAGGGGAGTCCCCATTACATGTAAAGCGCTTTGAGTGGAGTGTCCAGAAAAGCGCTATATAAGTGTAAGCAATAGAATAAATTAATCCTGTTATTAAGCCAATTAAAGATTCAGTTGTGTCACTGAGAGCCTGACTGGAGTAAAAGTTAGCAGGTCTGGACTAGGGTTGGGAACCGCCAGCCTGTCAGGAGGGCCAGTGAAGTGGAAGTGATCAGTGTGGCGCTGTGCAGTCAGGCTGCCATTAATCACCACAAGTGGAATTCTGTAGCAACAGAGACTCCTGGCCAGACTGGCGCACTTAGACCCTCAGAAGGCTCCACAGCCGAAATGTTGTGTTTCGTTTCTTTCTCTTTTATTTAAGCCATTTGTTTGAAGTAACGGTAATTCAAAGTTTGTTCTTCTGAAATTTCATCAAAGTTATGCATAGCAGGATATCACTGTCTTTGCTTGTAACCTGTAGTGTTGTTCATGAAGCCAGTTTTTATATTTGAAGCAACTCATTCAATTAACAGCATTTTCTCCATCTTTTCCAGAATTAGTTTCCACTGTTGTAAAGTGATTTTTCTCCCGTATCTATTCATCTCAATGCTTTTGTCATTGATCTTAGTGCTATTAATCTCTGTTTCATCTGTTCGTCGTGGAGGTTTTATTTTACATCATTTTTTGCTTTCTGTTTAAAATAAGATGAATCCAAAGTTTGTTCTACTGAAATATTCTCAAATGAATGTATATTGGGGTAAAGTGCTACATTTAAAGACGATGTAGATGTGAATTCAGTCATTTGTTCAGATGGACCAGTACATACTGTCCTTCACAATTAGACTGTGTAGTTCTGTACTGAAGCCATGCATGACCATGTGGAAGCTAATGGGGGTTGTTTTCTGTTAGCAGATGAACCATCTGGCAGTGGACAGCCGAGTGCAGACAGCAGGGTGGACTGTGGGGGCAGCAAGCAGCCAGAATACTATGACGACATTTACTTTGACTCGGACTCGGGAGATGAGGACACATCGGAAAAGTGTGGGTACTGCACGACTTGATTCTGTTTCCAGGGACTGCATTTACTACAGTCTGTATTTACATTTGAGCAGTTAACAGACAGAGGAGCTGTATTTCTGACAGGGGTTTGAACCGAAGTGCACAAGGTTATCATTTTAGAAAAAGAAATTGCTACCTGTAACAGATTGACTTTGGGTTTATCATAAAGATAAGATTTTTAAGGGCACTATTTTTCAGAACTGGTTTGCCTCATCATCCACGTGCATGTACATCATAGCTGTAATGACATCATCTGAATGAGGAAGATAGGAGTGGTGAACAATGTCAAGTCTAGTTTTTGTAGTCTTAGTCAGTGATGCTTTTTATAGTCGTCTTCAGGACGATTGAAACTTGTTTTACCAGTAATTCTTCATTCTGGGTGCATGATGCCTTTCTTCTTCCTCACTACTATCTGTTACCGCCTGCCCTCTCTTTTCTCATAGTTCTTTAGTACCTTTATTAGTATTTTTATACAACAATTGTGTATATTCTGTTTTTAATTGTACTTTTTTGGTGAATTTGTTTTGTTTCATTTTTCTTCTTGATGTTCTCGAATTACATTCAGAAAATTGATTTGTTTGGATGGACACTATAGTTCAGTGATTACACTTTGTAAATGGATATTCAGTGTTTTTAGTGCGTATTATGGATAGATTGAGCTACCACCATCTGCATGTAGCCCTGGGTTTAGAGGTGTGGGTGAGTGGTCAGGATTGGGGTTTCGTTACTTACATGCAATCAGCCTACAATAGCGGTTATCATCCCATTAGTATTGCTTTATCAATATATTCCATTTATAAAATGCTTAGAAATGATCTGACGTGTGAATTAACCTTAATGGAGGAACCTTTAATTTCTGAAGAAAATTCAGCCCTTGTTTTTTTGTGCTACCGCTCCGATCGGTGTTCGAGTGAATCGCTGCTCTCGTCTTCCAGGTAATGCGGTAGGCAGGAAGAAAAAGAAGCGGCACAGAATTCCCACGAACGATGAGCTGTTGTACGATCCCGATGAGGATGACCGGGATCAGGCCTGGATGGATGCTAAACGGAGGGGGTGAGTGGATTTCTGCAGCCTCCGGCTCCCCCGCTCTGCTAGGCTCATGGGAAAGCAGCTTGGAAAGGTGGGGTGGGGAGGAGGTGTATTCCTAGGGCTCTTATTATCTTAAGGGTCCCAGGGCGTACTTCCTTCCTTCAGTTTCCCAGGGGGGAAAGTTGCTCTGCAGGCAGATGCAAGACATAACACAATCCACAATATGTTTAACACAAAACGAGCCCTTAAACAAATAAAAGACATACAAGCGTGAGGAAAAAAAATAGCCACTTAAGTGATCTTCACAATTTTGAAACATAAAGAAATTGGGTCATCAGTGTGTGAGATGAATAAAGTGTGCATAATGGAGAAAAAAATAAATTTAAATGTATAGTCGGTGAAACAGCTGTAGGTCACCCTCCACAGCATTGTCATGTGAGTCGCTCTGTAAACATATATCCTGGTGCTAAGATGCACTGATTCATGTTGAGTGGACATGATTGCAGTGAACATATCTTGCGAAATAAAATACAATTGCGTGTGTTGTTTCAGGATATAACTGGCAAGAGTTATGTTTAAGGTCTCTGCTGTATCTCCCTACCTGGCACTTAGGTACCAAGCCCAGAGGCAACAGAAAAGTCATTCCTCCGGGAAGGCAGCGAAGCCGCAGCCTCTTCCGAGCAGCGATGCGGTCCTGAACTGCCCGGCGTGTATGACTACACTGTGCATCGACTGCCAGAGGTGAGGCCGGCAGTACTGGTGGACGTGTGTGAGTATTACACATGTCCTGGAGCTGATATTCCCCTCTTCCTTTACACCCCCCCAGGCACGAGAAGTACAGAACGCAGTACAGGGCCATGTTTGTGATGAACTGCGCCGTGAACAAGGAGGAGGTTTTGAAGTATCAGGTTCCCTCGGCTCGCAGGAGGAGGAACAGGGGGAAGAAGCAGCAGCAGCCCAGCGAGGACACAGCCGCCGCCGCCGCCGCCCCCTCGGAGGTCTTCCACCCGGTGAAGTGCACCGAGTGCTCCACAGAGGTGGCGGTGTTTGACAAGGACGAGGTCTACCACTTCTTCAACATCCTCGCCAGCCACTGTTAAAAACACAAACTCGTTTCTTTTATACCGTCTGAAAAAGATGGGATCGTTTGATTTTAATTTCCCCCTTGCGAGGCCTAAAAGATCTCAAAATTTGACCGTTGTATCAAACCTGGTTGGTATTTTTGTACATTTGATATAAATGGTAGTTGGGGCTATAGCTCTTGTGGACGTTAGAAACCAGGGTTGAGACGCAGCCTGCGGGGGATGTATTTCTTTCTCTGACCATGACTGATACCTGCTGTCGTACTGCTTTGAAAGAAACCTCAGTTTTTGTTTTGTAACATTTTGGTCTGTTTGTGAAAATGCATCTGTTTTGCTGTAAATTGTATGAGCTTCTACCACCCAGGAAATGTTAGAGGGTATCAGTGTCATAACTTGAAAAGGTTTGAATGTTGAATCTTTTTAGGCTTGTTTTAAAGTGTTCATTTGACCTTGTTCTATCATGATACTGATATATTTTGATACAATAGATACAGGCTTGGGGCTCTCAGTATATGTATCTAATTACATTAAAAACAGCTGTGAGAAAAATGAGACCATTTTATCAGCAAAAATTAATTGATGTTGCAGGTTAAGAAAAATTCAACCTCCTTATTTAAAGCTCTGACGCGGGAAATTGAGATGTCTGAATTTACTATTTTAAACAGTCATTTAGGAACTGTGAGCTGCTGAAAAGCCTGGAAAATACAAATATCTAAAGCCTTTCAAAATAGAGCCACTCAAAGACGAAGTGTCCTTTGGTGAATCCAATTCGACTCATTCAATAATCCTGTTCATGTAATCTGCATAGACTCGTGTTTAGAGAAGCGAGTAAATATTGATGGTGTGATTCCTCAAACTCAGCTGAAGGGGGGCCACCATTGGTGAATAATACAATATTACACCTACTAATGCACATCTCATACTAATAAATATTAATAACTTTACAGTAAGTAATACTATAGGATTGCTTTTTGTAGAGCTCTTCTCGCAGGCGCGTGTATTCTCCTTCTTCATCAAGAAGGCAGAATCTGGCACGGTTTCGTACGCGCTTGTCACGAAACCATCGTTCAAACAAACGCCTTTTTGAGCAGAGCTCTGCTCGCCCTTGGATCCACCCGTTAGGGAGCGGAGAGAGTCGGACCGCCTCGCCTTCACCTGCAGCGGGGGCGGCGGCCGGCCGGCTCACGCGCTCACGGGAAGGGGCGGGGACTGGGGGGGATGTGCGTCAGGGGGCGGGGAAGACCTGCCCGAATCAGGAAGTGGAGGGAGAGAGGCTCCGGGGGGGGAGCCTGACATATACACAAACACACGCAGCGATCGCGGGATCATGGCGCTGGGAGACGCTTGGAAGCGCATGTCCTGGCTGTACTACCAGTACCTGCTCGTCACCGCCCTGTACATGCTGGAGCCCTGGGAGAGGACGGTTTTCAGTATCCTTTAAGGAAGGACGTGGCGTTGTACGGTGTTAAGTTGTGAAAGCGGGCGATGCGAGGTGCCGGTGTCCGTCCGTCCTCTTCCCTTCGGAAAGTCGGGAGGCCGAGACTGAGCTCGCAGTTTGTACCGTTATCCGGTGAGGGGAGAGGGGCTCGCAGCTCTGGGTGTGGTCGGGTCGTATTCCGTTTGTGTTGACCGTTATGTTTTTCCCACTTAAATTTGACATTTGTCAAGAGTGTTTTCACGGGTACTCGTTTAAAGCATGCGCCGCAACACGAGCTGGCGGGGAGAGTTTTTTTTTTTTAAAGAGGAAAGCGCAACAGATGGTTGTCGAGGGGAGATCTCCCTTAGACCGCCCTGTTCTCCTTGGGCCGACATTGCTGTTATTAAATCGCTCACGTCACGGCGACACGGGCGAGAGCGAACTTGGACCTCCGCTTACTGGTTAACCTCACCTGGCGGAGGGCCGTGACCTGCAGCCCGAGGCACGGAGCTGCGCCTGCCTGCTGCTTTAAACGGGGAAGGGGACTAAAAGCGCCAGGACTCGGGTACAGAGAGGTGAAATGGTGCAAATCTAGAATTAGTCACACATCCTAATTCCGGGGTGTACATTTTAAGTGTATCGCGTCCGTGAGCCTCATTGGGTGGATGGTATCACGTTACATACCAAGCGCATTTTAGGGCCATTATCAGACTGTAGTTCATTTTTTTTGTGTACCCACTGTGTTGGCGCTGTTTTCTGTCCAATGATGTAAATAACCTGGGCATTGTAGAAACTCACCTTCCTTAATTCTACTACGCACTAGTTAAAACACTTCTTCTGAAATGCTTTTGCGCGTCCTCATGAGATCAGTTCCAGAAAAAAAGGAAAACGTTGACATTGACAGATAAAGATACACTTCCAAATTACCAATATTCGTTAAGAAAGTGAAGAAAGTAACAGATTTCTGTTGTACAATTTGCTCTGCTAACTGTATTTTAATAGTTTAAAGGAAATACATCTGTAATAGTATCTGTGTTCTTCAGTAAATACCACATTACAGAACTAATCCACTTTTCTGTGAAAGCCAAGTTAGAAGAAGAATCTGTGTATTAATGTTGGGCTGTGGCAAAGAAAGAATGATTTTATCAATGGTATCTACTCCATTAAAATTCAGTGTGCATAACCTGGAACTCCTTCACTGTAAAGTGGAGATACAGTATTTTGACCTCGTATATCTGTAATTAATACATCTGGTTTTTCCTTCATGTGAATGTAAATATTCATTTCATTTCTGATTTGTGAGAGTTCCGTGGCGCTCCTTGTTGTTCCGAGCACACCGGACAGTCGGTCATCCATCGGGTTTACTTCCGTGTGAAGTGCTGATCCTGGCTGTGCCAGGTGATCCCACACTGGAAAACCTCATTGAGAATTTGCTGAATTAGGTTCTGGGAACCAGCGTTCGAAAGCACTGCAGTAGAAGTGCAGTCAGGCAGTGAGAACCCCTGTGTATGTCCTTGCAGCAACCGAGTTGAGAACCGCTGACGTCATTTGCAAACTTTATACTCGTGCTGTGCCTTCTGTGGTGGGATTAGTGGGGGTTTGTTCTGTCTGCTGCTCCAACAGAACCCTTATTTTTCCGCTGTGATTAGTTTTACTTCTGGCAGGCTAAGTCTTCAGTCTGAAGATTAGTCTTCCAGTTCATTGCACTGATGGGGATGGTTGCAGGCTGCTCCTGCTGCTGATGTGTGGTTTTTGTCACTGTTTTTATTGTGGTTGTACCAAGGTTTAGTAACTAACCGACTAGTTAGATTGTCACCTGCAGTTTGTTCGTTTTGTGCTGGAAGGTATGAGGTGGACTTGTGACGTGGGTGACGGGCGAAGAGGCCTTATTCTCCGCAATTTGCTTCCAGTTTCTGTGTCAGTGCGCTTAAAGGAAGGTCATTTATTTTGCTTGATTTTCAGATGCAAATATTGTTCAAGCACTTTTCAATATGCATTATCACAAGAAATTCTAAATGTGCTTTGAACACAAAGGCAAATTCACAGAAATGGCTTTTTTAAGACAATAGAGGTCTTAAGCACAGGTTTGGTTTAAAAATGGGTGTTATGCCAGACATAGGTTTATTGCTTAAGTAGTGTGATGTTTTTCTGGTACCGTAGGTGTTGGTATCTGTTCTGTTATGTAAGTCACCCTTAAGACATTTTGTCACGCACATCTGCTACAGTACATCCAAATTTGGCTATTTTTTTGTCTTGGAATGTTTTGCACATTTGAACAAGTCTCCCTAAGAAATAGTTATGTGTTTAACACAAGGCTCTTTTGATATCTTTATGGAGTTACTTGTTGCATTTGAAATTTAAATGCATGTCATTGCTTTTTGAAGAATCAAGGTGGCTTGGTGTGTTCCTGTGGATAACATATTGCACTCCATCGTACATTTAAACCCTTCAGCATGACTGGTCTCGTGGGTTTTAAGGCGGACAAAGGTTAGGACATTTGTGATTGTTACATCTGACTGCATCTTCTTTTCCTTCCCCTTCTGTCGAAAGCAAGATGCTGGGAGTTGTGGTAAAGCGGTGGCTGTCGCGCCTGTCGTTTCCAGCTCTGCCTGCCACGTCTCCAGGCACTCCAGGCCCAGGTGATCTGCGTGGTGCGTCATGTTTCAGCATGTTTCCCTTGGCAGGGAGGGGAGGGAGGAGAAGGCTTAACTCCTTAAAGGCCTCTGATACTGCAGTCCCAAAGAAAAGATAAGAGAACAAGTGTGATCTGTCTTACTGCAAGTTGCGACCCCACGCTGGACTGTGTGGCTCTTGAGCATCTATTTCATTGAAATTAACTTAATTGACGTAGATAGTTCTCCTTGAAGCAGGGGATGGGAGTTGACTTTTATAAAATGCCCTTTGTTAAAACTTTCTGTTGTGTGCTCAGACACAAATATCTTAATCTGTAAGGCACTTTCTTTTCATTCAGACTTCACTGTTGAACTATTCTGTGAAATCTGATTTCTATACACGACCTGCCTTTTGAAAGGATTGTTTTCCATTGTGTTAAGACCAGTTTAATCCATTGGGTGACGTATTTTACAATGTTTGCAGAAGGCTTTGTGCAGACTCTTTAGAATTGGAAATTTAGCCTGTTTTGCGCATGAGAGGCTGACCTAGATTTTGCTGATTTAATGCAACCATCTTCAAAACTAGACAACATGTGAGTTGTCTAAGCCTCTGAGATCAACAGATGGGCGTTCAAATGTTTAGG